TAATAATCAGTAATCATCTGCTTACTAACCTGAGTAATTCACGAACACATGGTATGCCGTAAGGTATATGAGCGGTTAGGTTTGAAGTAATTATCGCTGTAGATGGTGCTGATTTTTCATCATTTACTACATGATTTTCCTGAAATCAAACAATTCTAATCTTTTCATGGATTCATGCAGTATTTATCCTTTCAACACAAAAAAAAAATAGCAGTATACCAACTTTTTCAGAATCGGATATTGGCTTCACCATCTCCTCATGACTTTTCATCCTTTTTCTAATCACTCGTCCTTTTTCGTTATTCTCTTCCTTGGATGATGCAGAACTCTGCAAATTTTGACAACTTTAAACACAGAGCAGGAAATAGCTCACAAAGAGGTTAATCAAAACCTTATTATAGATCAACCTGCCCAACATATAACTAAAATATTAAAAATCAATAACATTTCGAGAGAAACAGTCTGTAACTGACATCATCATTATCTGGTACAACACCATCATCTGAATCAGGTCTTTTATCAGGTCTTGTTGCTTCGGGATGTTCTTCTGATGGTTTAGAAACAATAACGCTATCATAACATTCAACAGATTCGGGCCATTCCGTTAAATGTTGATGAGAAACAGCACTAGCTGTAACAAAAAAAAAAATTAACTTCTCCAAATTGAGTGACCACATTTAGAAAGTAATGAGATATTTGAATTTCAAATTCAATAATTGACTTTAAAACTCTGCAAATTAGAAATTTCTAGGTTTCTCCAAGATTCTACTTTTAGATAGGATATATATTTCCATGTCGCACTTTTTTTTTTCCACAGCACTCCTTCCTTGGTGATAAGCAACAAAGACAAACAAAATGTCTAATATTTTGGTTATTTTAAACATACAAAAATGTACAAATTTACTTTCTTTTGTTTTATTGATAATAGTAGTTTGAGAATTATCACTTTTCAACTTTCTGTCATCGTTACTCTGCAGAAATGGTATCACTTCAATCGAATTTGACAGACCAACGTTTTGTGGTGACCCAATACTGTGACCGCTTTCCTGGCTATTTTCTTCCTGCATCAAATCAGCATGTTCCTTTGATTAAATTCATTCGTGCAATGGTTAAAAAAGTTGATATTAATTAAGAATATCCAGTTTCAGAAGTTTAGAAGCAGTCTAAATCATAAAGAAAAGAAACATTAAATGACCAGATATTCTTAATGCTCACTCCAACATCTCAAATATTAACAAAGGATGAAATGAAAGTTATCTAACTTGTCGAGACGCTGTGATATTGCTTCCAGTGCTGTCCTTTTCCCCTTTCTCATTTTTTACAATATCATTAAAATAAGTTTTTCGTTTCTTTCTCTTCCCTGCTAAATGACCAGCACGCTTCACCTGGAAAATAGAAACCGAAATTACATTCCAATTGTGTAGAAAAATTGTTTTAAGTTAAACTGCTAAAATTAAAATCCTTTCAGTCTCTCAATAACATTTTTGAAGTCAAAAAGAGATGAGCTAATCTATTCACATATTATCAAGACATAGAATAGAACAACTTAATTCCGCGACGGTAAGGATGAAAAAATCATCTCTGGATGACGTTAACAATTCTGATTTCAAAATCAGTCATTATATTAAGATCAGGCATGTATTTTATGCCGAGAAATTTGAAGATACTTAATAAACGACATAAGTTAGAAAGATAATACTAGTTTTCGAATGTAAGGATGACGAATATCTTCTTGAAATGTAGGTAGCCTTGTGAATAATAGCTGCGTCATATCTGATAAGGTAGCTTCAGCAGCTTCACGTAAAAGTTCACTCAAAGCTGGCTCAAAACTGATCCGAAAGCAACTTTGCATCATTTCGCAAACGCTTTCATTGGATAATAATCGCCCAACTGGTGTAAGCAAAAGAGTACGCAACACCTGAAGAAATAAATAAAAACCGACGTTTTAAACAGCTATAATAAAGCCTCTACAATTTTTATTGCTTGAAATGGAAACAATCCAACTCATCATATTATGTAAGAGGATTGAAAAATAAATCATTTACCACTAATAATGAAGCTACTTACAGCAGAACTTCTACTACTATCAAAAATAGTAAAGAACTGAAAATTTTCCTAAAAAATCATAAATTCAAATAACCTGAAGAATTTTTAATAGAACAACTTCATCTCTACCACTGTCAGCACTACCAATAAATTTCGCATGCGTTACGGCATCCGCAATGTTTTCTACTGCATTTGATGCTTTTATACTGCAATATTTACAACGTTTGAAAATCAATAGTAAGAAAACCTTATAAATCATGGATTTAAGAAAATTTTACAAAAACTGAACTCATTGGAATGGAAAGTAGAAAATAACCTTGAACTATCAATTAATCCATAACTAAGGAATTTAGCAACGGATGACAAAGCCTGTGCCGTTACTGGACCATTGGTCTGATCAGAACGTATCACATCAAGAAATGGACTTAGATATGTGTCTGGATTCATATCCGATAAATCGTTTACCTTAATTACAATATTTACACTTAAAAAGAATTTAAAATGTTTTCATTCATGAATATAAATTTTAACGAAGATAATAAGCACTCTCTGTTTCAAGCACAGAAAGACCGTACCACAAAACCGACTCTGCAAATGTTTTAGTATTTGGTATACAATTAAAAAATGAAGCTTATGAAAAGGATACGGAGAAATAGTCAGCAGAGAAAAAATAAAAGAGATGATAAAGGAAACAGAGAAATTAGAAATTGCTAACATTACATATTCAATAATCATTTCTCCATCAATTTTTATTCTATTTCGGTTTTCATGTAAATAAGAAAATCCAAACAACTAAAAACATTCAAAACAAAACCTATTGCTCTTTCGCCAATAAAAGTAAAAATGTAATGAGTGCACAAAGTGGAAGAAGAAATGAATTTGATATTGTAATCTTCTAATTACCAGTTTAAATATTCAAAATAGAACTTCAATTTAGTGAGATTTAAAATTTTAAAGTATGTGAACTTACAGAATTGAAAACATCTCTTAAATCTGCGAAATTCCTTAACAATGGATCAGTTTCATCAAGCAATGAGTGTCCTAAATGGATCTGTTGCTGATGATGGGACCAGTTTCGGTGTGCTTTCTTCAGCAATGCTACCACAGCATTGACTTCACCTTGAACTACGTACAAACCATTCACCGCCATAGATTCACCTTGCAGTTTAATTTCACGACAGCAAAGATATATGGTTAATTTTACCTTAAATAATTTTTCTGTTACATTAGAAATAAATTCAGTATCCATCTTATCTTACGCAAGAACAAAGACGTTAACCGATTGTTTATGGAAAAGAAATGAAAACTCACAAATTGACACAAAATCATATTATTATTATTATTATAATTGGAATTTCAGCCATAATATGAAATATAAATATGAAATGTGAAATTCATAAATGTGAAATTGATGTGAAATGTGAAATTCATATACATAAATATGAAATGATTTTCCAGAAACAAGTGAAAAAAAAAGGTAAGGATTGATGGAAAATCTGTACCTGAAACGTTTATTTAAAAAAAATACCAAAAAGTAGAAAGGAAATGAAGTAACATCAAAAAATCAGTATTAAAAATCAAAAACATACATCAAAAAAAGAAAAGAAAAAACGCTTCACTAACTCTTGCAATGATTCAAACAGTGCAATATCAAAAATACATGCGAAACAAATTTTTGAATACAATAATAAATGATAACATTAGCAATAATAATAATATATGTTAATTCTATAAATAAATATAAGAATCAGGTAAACAGATAAAATTTATTGAAATTAAGGTAGAATTACTAGCAAGTAATACGGTAACAAGTAAAAAATGAAGTACACATAAGAAATAACTTCGCCCTCTCTCCAATTACGTGTCCCCATTTACGTGAAAATTAACACGTCAATATGTACCGCTATTATTACGTCTGCCCCTACGTACCACACGCGGCCCGTCACCATGGCGATAACGTAACAAATTAAGATCACAATGCAAAACTTATGATTCCAAACACGTCGATGAATGTTACTCTATTGCTATCGACTAACTCTATTGCAATTCTTATAATTTGCTTTTCCCTCTTTCCCTCTCTCTCTCTCTCTCTCTCCTACCTCATTTATCACCTTGTATTCTCACTTTACATTTCACGACGTTAATCCTCATTTCAAGACAACATACTTTTCAAAATTTCATTCTTGCAAACTCTCTAAAACAAGAAAATTACTGCAAATTGTTTGTTCGTAGATTTAGAATTTCGATAATCTTTTTTTTGGAGTTATTCAAATTAAAACAAAATGGAAAAGTGGAAATACGTCAGGTACCTCTAACGCAATGAGAATAGAAAAGTGTAAATGTGAAATTTTCTTGACATTTATAAATTTTATACCTTTTATGATTTTTCATTATTTAATTGTTGTATTATTTCCTGTACGCATTTTTATTAACATTCTCTATTAGCTTTAAACTTTAGCTGAAAATTTTCATTCGTACTTGAGTATTATTACAGTGTGGCAAAATTAAAGTACAAGGCTGCTTTTTTTTTTTTTAAATATAAAGGCATATTTTTGAATGAAAAGAAAGTGACATACAATATTTCTATAAGCATTTAACAAACTCTTCATTCATTTATAGAAAAAGCAATAGGGTGTCTTATGTGCATATTTCTGTTGTAAATGATTGTAAAAAAAAAAAAAAAAAAAAAACGGCATTATGTTGTTAATACTTGCAGATATTTATTGCCATCAATAGCACTTCCAGTTAATTTTTTTTTTTTTTTTTCTAATTATTTTCACAAATACTTGACAGAAATACAAAATCAGAATGACCCTAGTTCGCTTTGTTTGCTAGTCATTCAACCATATGTAAAAAGCGTAACATAATACATTACAGTTTCAAATAAAAGAAAATCTATACGATCAGAAATTCTGACCAAAAAAGGCCTTAAAAAATCTATACAACTAAATCAATTACTCATTTGGCTTCTCCCAGAACCAATGTGTCGATATCCATCCAGCCCTCGATAATGGCCATATCCTAAGTATTAAACGAACTTGTACCAGGCCGGCTGGTACCGGACCAAAGACCCGAGAATCGGTAGAAGCTACCGTGTTATCACCTTCCAAGTATACATGTCCCCGTGGAATCACCCCATTCGGTAACAGATAACAATTTGTCACTATATCATGCTCCATAGCCGTTAAGCGTTTACAAAGCATTTCGCTCGAATCATGAGGTGCCAAAGCGCCAACAATATCGCCACGTCGTAAGTTACGCAAATGGATACTCAACCGCTCAGCAATCACCTATAATTTGACTATTTAATCTCTCCCTCTTCTTATTAACAGCAGCATTCAAACCAAAAATAACAAATATATTATCAGGATAAAATGAAGATAATACAAAACATAAATTTGCATACATTAAGTTAAAGATAGAATATTTTAAACATTAAATTTTGGATTGGTAATTTTAAAACAAAACACATCCAACATTTAATTATTAAAAAGCTATCGAAATTCATTAATCAACAAATATTGAAACTCTCAGGAATTTTTGCACATAGCTCTATGAATCGATGAATAAAAGATACAGTTGAGAAATACCTACCAAATCACCATCTTGTATTGTTGGATGCATCGATGGTCCTGAACATATCACTAATTCACCTACATGACGACCTAGAGCATATGAAGCACAATAGAAATAGCCGAAATTTCGGATCAAACGCCAATTTAATAGTTTCCCAAACAACATACCATTTGAAGGAATTTATACGTTAGAAATCTGAAAATGAAAGAATTTATTTTGAAAAAGTGATAAATCGAAAAAGTGAGCATGAGAAAAAGCAACTATTTTAGCTGAACCATTCTACCAGTTGAAAAGAAAAAAAAAAAAAGAAATAATAGAAAATATGAAAAAATTAAAGTAACAAATCGTAGTAATATAAACTATCATACATATATCACAAATATTACAGTCCAAATATTTGAATTAAAAGAATAAACCATAATGATTATTTTCCTATATGAAAATTTTTGCAACTAATATTCCATCAAGCAATTTATTTAAGCTAAATTATCTTTGCATTCATTCATGTGAAAGCTTAAAAATAAGTCAATCATTCCCTATTTCGGAAGTCGTTGTTACCATATAATTTTCTTACTATCACATTAAGGATTAACAAAATTACTCCAATATATTTGTCATTTGTTTAACATTCTAAATGTCATCTACTTTGTTTTTTCTTTTTGCTCATTTTCGGAAAAAAATTAAGAAAAATCTAAATCAAAGACAAAATGTTAGAATATCTCGTCGGTCATAATAATATATTTTTCGTTGCAAATGTCTGTCTCTGAAGCTCCTCTTATAACACTCCATCCTAATATATAAGCTAACTTAAAGAGGACAATTTTGATAAATACAAATAAAACTCCTCACTTGTATTCTGTTATTACTAGTACTAATCATAATAACATCCATTTCCGAATCTTCTCAAAATTTTTTGTTTGATAGAGGCTGAGACAGCAAATGCAAAGTTATTGCATATATCAGTTAACGATGAATCAAAGCAAATATATCAGTCAACGATGAATTCAGGAAAAAAACATCCTCAAGTGAGGTTAACTTTTAATATTGTAAACGAAACGACAACACGACATCCTTTTTTAACATCTTTTTTATTGGATAATAAACTTTGAATTCACCAAAAGACAAAACTCTACTTTTTTACAACCTTTTCCAGAACAATACTCAAAAGTTTCCATAAAAACTTGTATTATATATCATTAATTTGAAAAATTTTAGTAGTAATCATCCTACGAAAGAAAACAATAACATGAACATTCAGAGAAAAAAAAAGTGAGATGTGCACATTCTCCAATACTTTCAAGAATCAAAACTGAATTAGAAGTACTAAATCATGAATGCATGGCAAAAACGAAGAACTTAAATTTCGAAGGTATACGATTGGAAACAAGTAAGTCTATAAAAAGCACAGAAACAGATGATTCCATGTAATACTGATTATGTTCATTTTGATTAAAATCTTTATATTTCCCTTTTTAAAATATTCAGAATTATGTTGGACCTTTACGTTAAAATCACACGTAAAAGACATATATATATATATATAAAGCTTATGTAAGTTGACTCGATTCATCATCTTCATGGAAAGTTCTTTGTTCTCTCGCCTGTGTTCGAAGTGCACGATCTGCAGCAACGGCCTGAAATTAAACATTGAAGAAATGAAAAATCTCATATCTAACGAACTATGTGGGTATATGTTATTTTCCAATACCCAAACAAATTTTATAATTCAGCAAAATTAAAATAAAACCAAGTTTGAAGAAGCTATCAACTATTAGTCTCCTATTTGTAATGATGGGAAAAAATAAATTATGCCTTTTCCCAACTTGTCAATCTCACTCTGTGCGAATTACCATCCAAGTCTGCAAAAATAGTAAACAACTCTATTAACTTTTGTTGAATCTTTTGTTTAACAAGATTGTTATGACATTATCTTCGGTTTGAATCTGCCAAATTAATCGCTAATAATGTTGAAGACGTTTTTCTGTGTGATAATCTCGACATAACCGAGAATTGAACTGCACCAGAAACAAGCATTTTGAACATTTTGTGAAACATTAAAAATCCTAATGAACAGCTCTTACTTCTCCGCAACATGCGGTAATCTTCTAAAAGTCTTGATACCAATACCCAGGATAAACTATCATTATCTGAAAATTCTTACCTGCGAGCTCTTCTCTGAGGAAAATCCTTTTTGAACCTGTTAAACAGAATCTTTATTTCGAAATTCATTTTTTGAAACTGCGAATCAGAACGTAACACCAATCTTCTTGCAGCTACAGCGTAACCAGAACTTACCTTCATCAAGAGAATTCCCTGCCGTGCTGCACGACATAAAACCAAGTCTACTTCCTGCCGAGAAATTGCTGTCATAACATTCTTCGTATATATGTCGTGAATTACTGTTCTGGGATCTGCAAATGAAAGCTTCAATAGAAAGCTTCACTGGGATAAGTTATCAATTTAGAAGACGGATTAGTTGAATCATAAGTATAATCTGGATGATAAATCATTATGATGCAATTATCTAATTTATTTATGAAATAAGGTAAAATCAGCAACGTCAGTGGTATGCCACACCTAAAAAAAGAAAGTTTAGGTAAATTAGTTCTACCTCTCATGGACATAATTTCGGAAACACGTCGAATCCTGCACATCATTTTGAAGATCATGGGTGTTTTCTATGTTTCCTATTTGTGAATTTTGATAATTCAGGATTTGTTCATGTCCAATAGTGGGCAAATTTGCGTTCGGAACTGGTACTGGTACCATCACCGGTAAAGCTACTGGCATTATCATCGGAAACGCTGGGGAACAATAAAACGGCCTGAATTAATGTGTGAAAACAGCATAAAAAGGAAATCCGGAATTCTATTCAGTTATAGTTAAATCTGCACAAGTATCATCTTCATATAGCAAATCCGCTTATCATAAAAAAACAAAAATCAATATCATAAACAGGGATAACACGACAGTCCGAAAAAAATTGCAAATACCAGATGTGTCGAGATTGCGTCAAATCACGATTCGCAGTATTCAACGTTCCCAACATCATCGATGTCATAAATTGTTGCCCATATGTTTCATTAGCCAAATTCTTGCTTGAAGAAATCCCGTCGATATCTCCCACACCACCTATAGAATCCTGTTCCTAATTAACTCAAAAGCAAATGTAAGAAATAAATTAAATTACTACTGAAAAAGAAATAAATAACGATGAACATCAACAGCACCAATTAGAAGATCGTTAAAAGTGCTGCCAGTTTCCAATAAATCAACCAAATATACATCTTGAGACAGGGATTCCTTCACTCTCATATAGCAATCTGCTCCCTTTGAGAGATTCTGTAAGACTCTGATAATATACAAAATCTCTTAAGACTGTTTAATAATCCAATAAAACAAATTTTTTAATGTTAAAGCTAGAGTATTAAAAAAGTTAACAAAACTAAACCTAAAAATTTATCATATTCAAATCTGCTTTAAAATATTAAAATAATGACCTTAGCGTGTAGCACACTAGTCACGTCCTCTTGACAATGTATCATTGCTACTGGCAGATTTCGAATTGGATTAGACTTCAACAAAATAAATTATTATATACAAAAAAAAAAAAACCAATAATGTAACTGCAGCGTAAAATATACTAGCAATGACAATTATAGGATATATACATAATAAATAATCGCTGATCATCCCCATATGCAATTGCTGAATACTTTAACTGACCTTATCCATGGCAGATATATCGATGACATCTTTAGCGAGCACCCATTTGAACCAACCAAAATCCACCAAGAAAATTGAACATCTAAAATATATTCAAAACTGCAAATATGGAGGAAATTTAATTTCTTGGTCCTAATATCAGAAAATAAACTTATGAATGGACTAGTTATTTTAATTTTCCGCATTAAATACCTCTTTGTGCGTGCATCGAATCGAGAGGGAACTGCACGGTAGTAAGCTTTGTAAGCACTTTCAGCTCGGGTACGCACTACACATGGTATTTTTCTCATTAGGATATCGTTGTCTAATGTTTGACGTAACACTGGGAACCCTGATATCTTTCTGGAATTTTCTTTCAATACCTAAAAATAACTTTAGCATTAGTAATCCCTACAGGGTAGAAGCAAACTTTAGGAGAAATTGAATTATGTTTACTGTATACTGTCTTTCTAGACTACAAATTAGAAAGGAGATAATGATTGTGAAATACGACACTATATTAAAGTGTCGCAGAAAGAACTTCATGAATAACTCACTCTTTCAACTGTTGAAAATATGCTCTTGTTTACAACCCAAAATCTATCCAATACTCGATCTTTCTTATCGAATCGAACACTGACCACTGTTGGAATCACATCAGGTTTGTACTGTTTGAACGCTGTTTGTGTGAACAATGGTTGGGCCTAATGAAATATACATAATATTGAAGTAAATAAAAAATCGAAGACTTCAAGGAGCAGGATTTTTAAGAATCTTCACCTTTACCGTTTCATATTCAGTACGTAATTCAGCATCCACACAACTTCCTGAAACAAAACATAACTTTAAAATTTGATATAATGTACGACTAAAGTAAGCTTTAGAAAATTTTCGGCAATCAACCAGTAGAAGATATTTCTGCGCTAAAAACAAATGAATACTACCCTGCTGCTGGCCGTACTTGACCTTCTTTGACCCGATAGACATTCTTCTGCGTGGAGTGCAATCTCGTGTCCTTTGCGCAACCTAAAGTTTTTCCGGATTAATTAGTACATTTGGTTTCAAGGAGTTGAGAAGTTTAGAGTAAATGGTGAACAAATAATGATAGATAAAGAAATTCTCTTAATTCTTTCAGACATATATTCAAAATCTATCCAAACCAGAAGATTGCAAATTTGAAGTTGTTCACCTCTTCCGTAGAAGAACAACGATAAGTCAGTTCGCTGTTGGAACTGTCTCGCTGTCCACTGCCTGTGGATGAAACTATGTCTCCTTCAGGTATCTTAGCTGGCGTATTAGATCTAATGGATCGTTTAGCTTCAAATAGATAAAGATCAATACTTTGAAAGAGAAGACAACTGATTTATATGTTAATCAGAATCGAGACGAAACAATGTATAACTAACAAGTTCCAAGTCGAACTTTCTCTTTAAGATTTCAGAGGTGAAAGCCCATGAAACATTAATTACACTGTAACACAAAATAAAAAAAAATAATCTCTCTCGTTTTACCGAAATTGTTCACTTCAATTGCCACATCTCCACAAACAATGTCTTGTAAATCTTTATAAAAGTCACCATTTTCCACCAATAACCGACCACGAACATATCCCAACACGACAAATGATCGTGATATGGTTTCTAGACAGAAAAGATATTCAAAGAGAAATTAATAATGCCAATGCAGCATGATTAACACTCCTCCTATTAACAAGCAATTCCTAAAGTTTTATCATGTCGCTGATAACAGTTATGAACTGACTCCTCGAAGGACTTTGATCATGCTAGGGAGAGGGATGCAATGTTTGGTGATGTTCTAACAAATTTACTAAAAAAAAGTTGGTTACTGGGTTAAATTTATTAAAAAAAATTGGTTACTAAATAGTACTACATTGATGATGCCGGAGCACAGATATATACGCTAGTTCGGTCGGTGCATTTGGCGATATAAAGAAGTCCTAGGGGAAAAAATTAGCATTTAAAAAGGCTTATATTTTATTGAATATTTAAAGCCACTGTCGATTCAGCTAAACCTACCCTTTGAAAAAGAACACACTGTATACTATTTTCTACCATGGATTGTATATAGACTTAAATACCAAAAGCTAAAAAAAAAAACCCAGAAACTAAAAGCACTACAGTATTCATATTTCTCCTAGACATAATGCCAGCAACTTACATTCCTAGAAAATAATTAAGTACTATTGTAAAACAACCATGTGTCATGATACCTACCCACTTCACACTTGCATTTGTGTCCTATGAAAGCTTTATAGACATTGAGTTGATCAGCGGATGGTACGAAGACAGGACAAACACAGCTAAACAATGCAAAATCCAATAATTCTTGTGGAAATTCATAAATATCATCGAACTGTGCTTCACACTGCATGCCTTTATCAATGAGGTAAATCTGTGAAATTTACAAAGTGCAGTTAAACGAGATCATTAATAAATTATTAGGAATGTTAACTAATATCTGCCATCATAAAATCCCACTTCTAACTTTGTATGAAATCGATGCATGCAGAGTACACGCATTATTAACTTCTCATGTAATATATGTAGAATAGTATTGCATCAGTAAGACTGTATATGTACGCATGTATGACCTTCATAATTACAAAATTTAAATAAATTTACGGAATATGTATCAGGAGTTGGTCTTCGGATAATATATGACCGTTCCAATGAACCTTTTACATTTGCAATATATACCTCACCTGAAAGGGGTATGGTGTATGGTTCATCGATCTCTACCAAAATACATGGTACTACGTCTTATATATTTGCAAGAAACAATGTTTTACTCTTTTTAAACAGGAATGGAAATTCTAAAGTTTAATCTCTGGTTAAATTTGAATACGTTTAATACGCTTTCATTAATCCTCCATCTAATTTATTGGCTCACTTACAACTTAAAAGGACCATATAAACATTTCTTAAAATTGGTTATATGTTATGTACAGTAATGAGTGAATTACACTGCAGATAATAAACTGTCAAGTTAAATTTTATTTGTCACTACTGATCAATGTCATCCTTTAAGTGTTCTGGAATTTCACCACTTTATTGACCCAATCTCAAGACGTATGACGGATGATGTATAATGTCTTATCCTATTTTTAACTAAAGTCTACTAATATCGAAAAAAAGAATTTTTTTTATTGAATTTTCATTTAATTTTAACCATAAATAAATTGTCAGGTAACTTTAATACGAGAATTTACCAGATTTCACCGCTGATAATGACTCGAATTTCTTTAATGATTGTGCTAAACTATGCAGTTTTAAGGAGATCTTCTTTCTTTCTTCTTGCCATTGAGATGGTTTAATGAAGGTTAACGTTTCATTTCCAGCTACTACCACATGGCTAATTTCACCCTCAAAATTGCTAATTGTTGTTGGCAACGAAATAGCAACCATTTTTGTGCACTCAACCAATTATTCCTGAAATTCTGAAAGAAAAATTGTTAATTTCTTCAGCATTATTATAATCTTCGTAGAATTTAATCAAGATATTAAAAAGATTCTGAGAGAAATACTGCGAAAGTACTAATTGTACCATAAGAATTGTCCAAAAATATTATGGAAATCTCATAAATCTCGAGAAATACTAATATTGCATTAGTAAAATGCCAAATAATTAAATCAAACCTTTTAGCGTTAAAACCAACCGATCACGGACACTCCAAGAATGGAAACTAACGCATTACACGTCGTATTACGCTAGCCTAAATTTAGGATTTACAAAAATCCATTTCAAATTATGGTAAATATATGTTTACAGTATGCGCGCCAATTAAAATGTGAATATCTCGTCTATACAGCCCAAGATTTCTCATTTTTTCTTCAAATTATTTCAAATTTCAATTCTTTATGAATTATTTTAAATTTGAATTTTCTCCAAAATCCTAAAAACTTTTCTACCATTCGTAGTTCAAAATTTCAGAACAAATAAATATTAAAAAAATAAGTTAACTCTTCAAAAAAAAAAAAAAAAAAAAAAGCAAACCATTAAATTAATATGATACATTCCATAGCCTCTCCTACTACTATTATCTCAGAAGGTTTGTTAGTTTCCCATCTCATATCACTTCAACTGTTTCTTTTTAAAATTTCCTAATAATTTCATATAACCTTCATGCAATTACCTCGTTTTTCATTTGTTAAATTTCTCAACTCTTTCGCTATTACATCTTTGTTTAATTATTTAAAAGAAATCTTTGTCTCTTTGTTTAACCATTGTTATACATTTTAAGCACATCACTGTATATGTCATATGACTATATCTGGTAAACAAACGTGCATTTATTCGCACTAATAAGTCACACATGTCATTCATAAAATATGAAACAACGTAGAAAATATGCAAATATAACAACAAACATTTTAAATGGATTAAAAGTAAAAACATTGTGCGGAAAATTTGTAAAAAAGGGTGATAAAAAAATGCTCAACAACTATCGGTGCAGTCGACTTGACTACTCGTAACCAACTTGATTTATCCCTGAAACGCTGAATGTCTATAGATCTGGAAATATAAACAGTCAAAATAGTAGAAACGTTTAGATTTTATTTTGAATGTATTTACAACTCTTTACCTTCGAACTTTACGTGCAATGTTGGAAACAAAGGATGCGACGAAAACAAAATATTAAAATATGTATAATAGATAATTCATTTCAATTCAGCTTTTTTTCCGTGATAATAAACCTCTTGTCTCTATTTCTCTCTCTCTCTTTCATTCCATTATTATTTATACTAACTGTATGATACTCGAATGGGATTAAAGTTCTGAAAGTGCAGTTTGTTATGACATAAGTAATGATTAAACTTTTAAATTGACAGATTCAAATTAACAGATCTCCTAGATCGTCCTCGTCTTGGCGTTACTTTACTAGAACCGGTAGAAAAAGAAGTTGCATCATCTGTAGTTTTAGTGACATTGCTTAACTCACTTTCCGTATATGATGCATCGGCAAGAGTTACAGCACGATTCCAAATCTGAAATAAAAATTAAAGTATGATGAAAATCTAATGATGTTAAAATTATTCCATTTCTCGAGGAAAATATGGAAATCTTCGGAGGACAATAAAGAAAGGCACAATTAAATCCATTTACTTCTGATGAAAATGGTTGTCCAAAAAGTATCTGTAAACGAAATTTCGGTAATATGGATGATACTCAACGACATAGCAATTTTCACAGAAGCGATGAAATTCATTTCAGTTTTATTTTAATGCGTAAGATGCACATCATTAGTCTGTATCCAACCATAAACCATTAAGAATTGCCATTTCCATCAAAATAATCGAAATAGTGCTCCTGATTACAGTTATAATCATAATGAAGAAGCTAAGTGCAACCTCAACAGGATCATCATCATATCCAGATTCATATCCATCCTGTACCACATCTTCAATCATTCGTGCCCATCGACTCAGAGTGTACAATGCACGTTTCGATAACTGAGATCTGTCAGTGATCATTTTAGCAGTAATACCACCTTTTGGCGTTACTCGTAAACATTTTTCGACTGTTGGTGAAGCAGAAAGTTCTTTCAAAGCAGTTTTAATCTGGAAACCATGGAGGATAATCAAAATATATAGCAATCTGACCTCTGCTTAATAATTCATGAGTATCCAGATTTTACTATATCTTTCCTATTAAAAGATTAAGCAAAAATAAAAAATAGGTGAGGACTGTCCAAAAAAGCTGCACAAACGACATCATTATCATGTGGCTCACTTCCATTTGCCCATCAATCACTTAATCATGAGTAGCTCATAGCAGGAGAAGAATAGATTAAGCTTGATCATATGAATCTTCTACACAATTTAATAACTGATCTAAATTTTAAAAAAACAGAAGAAAAAGTGACCTCATCATTTGTTTTCAGCGATTTCCTTGATATTCGCCCAATATGCCAAATAGTATAAAAAGAACGTAGTAATGCAGCACTATTTGCTGATGCGGATGTAAAAGTTGGCACATTTTCTAGCTCAACACCATTAGGTGATATGTGACTTTGATCCTTTGCAGATGAAGAATTAATTGGACCATTTCTTCGCTTCCTTTGCTCTAGTTTTCGTGTCCAATACTCCATTTTCTGCATATAACTCTTCCAATTTTCATGCTGAAATAACTGTTTAACTGTTTAGACTATGGATATAATAATGGATTTCTCGTATGAATTAATCACAAACAATTACAGCAAAAATTTGCATAAATTCTTATTTCATTATTTCAAATAAGTTAATGAATAGCTTTAAAAAATTAACTCACTCCACTGATACAGTTTTTTATCAAAAAAGGAGGTTCAGCTTTTCTTTTATGACATTTTTTTTTAGTGACTCGTGTGGCATAACAATTCGACAGGATGCTTGGACCACGGTTAATTACAAGTCGCCTGAATAAAACCGAAGAATTTATATAAAATATTATAAGTATGGACCAACATGGCATTTACCTATAGAAATTATCGTCTATTCGATAATTTAATCAAAAAAATGAAGGAATAAATGATAACAGTATAATAATGACAATCCCATATATAAATGTAATAATAATACCTGCAAATCCTATTAATATTTTGCGCTTTCTTACAATAGCTCATTCTATTCCCATCGTTATCGTTCACTTTACGCCAAGGTTTCGGCTTTTTCATATACATAAGAAGTTTGAAGTGCTGCATTGTCTGTGTCATTCCCTTCTATCGTCTTCTTTCTTTCTAAGAATTAATCAATTTTCTGCTAGCAAAACAAAGCATTAAAACTTTTTAAATGGCTACTAACACTGGAAATGTTTTTAATGATGTTAAAAATATCGCACATACATATTTTTATCAGTAAATTTTCATTTTAATTTAAATAATAATACAAAAAAAAGTCAAAATTTCATAAATATCTTCTTAATCTCAACAAATATTACCTAAAATCACTTCTACTCTATCTAGTAATATCCATTTTCAAATGATAAAAGTGGAAAATGGACAGTAAATTGTTTGAACAACAAATTTAAGTTATATCACAATCTAAAATTAATTTATCATTTATTCCAAATATTTTTATATATTTCAAATTTACCGCTTGATACGATATGCAAATTTTATGTCTCCTAAGAATTTAGATAATTAAATGTGAACGCTGTTTTTTTTTTTTTTTCTAATTTAAATTTGACAAAAAGAATGAATGAATAACTTGATTGATTTAATGCAAATTTGTTTAGATATTTTGATATGATTCAAAAAAAAAAAAAAAAAAAAAAAATTTTGGTATAATTAAAATTTGGCGCAAAATGTTATTTCATCTGCTCACTTTCAACAGTCTTTTTTATTTTATAAGAAGAATGAACCGATTCATTTTACTTATATTTTCTTTATTTAAATTTGAACCGGATTAGCTGTAAAACCGGAAAGCAGAATAATCAGTGTTCAAATAATAGCCATCTTTTTTCCTCTCTCTCTCTCTCTTTCTTCCTATCTCTCTACCTCTCTTTCTCTCCCATGTTAATTGATTTACAAATCAGATATCAATTCTTACTTATCATTTTGAGTATAACTATAAAATATTATTTATTACAATATAAATATTATTTCAAATTATTTAAAAATTAGCAAAATTAACCAAAATATTTCATAAAATAATTGAAATTTTAAAATTTTCCATTATTTGAAAGAAGTAAATTACTACGAAATTTTAATTTCTCCTTAAAAGTTTATTTCACTCCTCTCTTCTTTCTCTCTCTCTCTCTCTCTCTCTCTCTCTCATATTCAGGTTTCATCTACATTACTTTATCACCCTGTAATTACTATCGTACATTGATCCATTTCTCTCTCCCTCTCTCTCTCTCCCTCTTAATTTATATAACCTTTTAAGTTAAATAAAATTTTCACTTTTTTTTTTGAAATATTCTTTCGAATGAAATTTATTCATTCTGCTAATAACTACTATCAATTTGAAATGATCACATTTGTTATAAATGCATTTCAAATTATACATCAATAATAATTATTACTAATAATTATTACTACCATTTCAATTTGTATGAGCGCAAATTGACATTGTTAATATATTTGTAGCACATTGGCAAGTAATTAATTCATTTAATAATTGAAATTTTATAAAACATTAAATTTATAAAAGGAAAAAAAAAAAGAATTGTAAGAATTTAATATAATACTTAAGAAATTATATAATATTTAAGAAAGAAAAAAAGAAATGACAATTAATTAAAGGAAAAAAAAAAATTGATTAACTAATTTGATGTTATATTGTTATTATTTATTAAAAATTATTGATAAAATATTACTTTTATTAAAAAATTTTTGAGAGAGAGAGAGAAAGGGATCAAAAATCTTTCAACAATTACTTTTAAAAAATGTAATAATAAATTTTTTAATTTCAAATTAATAAATTTTTATTCAATTTCAAAAAGATTGTGATAACTTATAGAATTAATTTATATTGTATAATAAATAATCGAAAAGAATGTGATATTTGATAATAACACATAGTTCAATATGAAATATATGAATTAATATTTTAATTTTTTATTTTTGGATAAATTAAAGTTCGAATAAATTAATGATTTTGCATGAATTTAATCGAATAGAAATTAGTATATCATTGAAATATTATTGGAAATGAATTTAAAATCATTGCAGGAATTAAATTTCAAAAAAACTTTCAATATCTAAATTATTATTACTATTATTAGTATATTTTTTTTTTTCTTGACTCAAAAATTTTTGTTCAATTTCGATTATTCTCGAAAAAATATAACAAAATTTTGCAAAATAAAATTAAATTTTTTTTTGTATGCGCAAATTATTTGATCGCTGATAATTTCAATAATTTTACAATTTCAAAATTAATTGAAATAACTTAACAGAATTAATTTGTCATCTATTATTATCATATCTAACTCTAGATACATATGAATAAAATTTTTCCTATCCTATTTTTTAGCATATTTTATTTTTCATTTAAAATTCTAATTTAATTATTACTCAATTACATCACATTTTTTTTTTCCTCATTTAATTTATTTCTTCTCTTGTTTTTGTTTTTTTTTTAGCTTATTTATTTGTTTTATTAAAGCAAGTTTATTTTGGAATAGCTTGTTGAATCAATTCATCCTTCCTTCTTTTGTTGATGTCTTTTGAAGTTTTTTTTTTTTTTTTTTTGAAATCTTCATATCAATCAAAATTTTCATTTTTGCAGTTGAAAAAAAAAAAAAAAGTGAAAACATAACTCAGAAAATTGACTTTTGATATTTCAGCAAAATGCATTTTATTTTTCAAAGATTCGTTTTCTTTCTTTTATTTTCATGCTTTAGCATAAATTTTTTTTTTTTTTTTTTTTTTTAAAAAAAGCATTTATGGTTAGCAATCTCTCAAAAATAAACTTTTTAAAAAATCACAAATGACCAATCTCTTCTCTCTCTCTCTCTCTCTTGTTTTATTTAGCATATTAATAAGAGAAGAAGCAAAATTTGAAGGGAAATGTTATAAAAGGATTTGCATATATTCATGGATTTTGACAAATATAAATTTCCTTCATTACATTATTATATTAAATTAATCGATCAGTAATCGTACTACTACTACTACAATTTGAATATTTTAGGATATTTTTTTCTTTTTTACAGAATATTTTTAAGTTTTAAATTATTTTTTTTTTATTATTCAAAATATCAAGGACAAATTGAGTTACTAGCGGTAATAGTAGTGTCGTAACTTGGTAACTTCTTTTCAAATTAAACCCAAATGGCGATTTTTATGATGATATGAAGGCGGTGATGTCCTTTCTCCTTCCCATTTAACTAACACACCACACCCATTCTTGCTGTCAACCCTTGTCCCCTTTCTTTCCCTCTTCCCCTCTCTCCCTCTCCCTCCCTCTCTCTCTCTCTCTCTCTCTTTAATCCATTTCTTGATGACCCAAGAAAACTGCGACAAATATAGCGGATAACTCTAGAGTCACCCTGTATAACCACAACTCATTTAATATTATAAAATGGATGATGAATTGACCAAATGGTAATAGTTGTCGCATCCATTTGAAATTTACTAAATTTTATTAGGTACCAATCATTTTTTTTAAAATTTCTTCATTTTTCAAAAGTTTTAATTTTTTTTCTTTTTTTCTTTTTTTTTTTTTAATTTTCTTTCAAAAGTTTTATTTATTTTTTTTTTAAAATAATTTTTATTAATTTAGTTTACTATAAATGCATTAAAATTATATTTTTGATATTTTATGTTTATTTTTAAGCAGTACAATTTTAAGAAATAATAACAAGTAATGCAAGTAATATTTAAGTAATATTACTTACATTACTTATATTGTATCATTTCTTATTTGCTATATTATTTGTAGTAATTACTTATATAACAGTTAGGTTTGTAATTTTAAGTTAATACTTTAAATGAAGTTTAAGTTAATAAAAATGAATTGAATTTTTCACATTTTAACATTATCTCTTCGTGCATGCATTTTTATTTAAAAGAAATGAAATTGAAATTTGTATCAAATTAGACTTGCTGATAAATTTTACAGCAAATTAAAAGATAAAATGAATTTTTCATATATTTTGAATTTATTAACATTATCAATGATAACAAATGATAATATAATTTATTAATAATAATTTTAATAATTAATTATTTTCATTGAAATAATATAGTTATTTTAAAAAAATGAAAATTATGATTAATGTAATTTGATAATTATTAACTTTCGGTACTTTTCTTTCATTCATTCATTCATTCATTCTTCTTTCTTTTATTGAAAACGGATGAATGAATGCTTTTAAAATGGCACTTTTCAGATACTTCAAAAGTCATCTTAAATTTTACTCATCCATTCCCGTTCAGCTATTTTTCACTGTAATTACTTTTTTCAATAACATTTCATTTTTCTACCTCTCTCATTGTCAACATCATTTTAAAGCTGTAAAATTTCATTTCATTGTATATGTTCTCTTGAAAGCAATAAAAACATTTCTTTTGATATATCTTTTAAGTTAAATCCGTAAAGCTACCTTTCAGGTTAAATCCATTAAGCTATCTTTCAGGTTAAATCCATTGAGCTATCTTTCAGGTTGAATTAACCTGCTTTTCGGGTTAAATTCACAAAGCTATCTTTCAGGCTAAATTGATAAAGCTATCTTTCAGGTTAAATCGATTAAGCTATCTTTCAGGTTGAATTAACCTGCTTTTCGGGTTAAATTCACAAAGCTATCTTTCAGGCTAAATTGATAAAGCTATCTTTCAGGTTAAATCGATTAAGCTATCTTTCAGGTTGAATTAACCTGCTTTTCGGGTTAAATTCATAAAGCTATCTTTCAGGTTAAATCCATTAAGCTATCTTTCAGGTTGAATTAACCTGCTTTTCGGGTTAAATTCACAAAGCTACCTTTCAGGTTAAATTGATAAAGCTATCTTTCAGGTTAAAATCATGAAGCTACCTTTCAGGTTAGATATACAAAATTTAAAATTCGTTGATTGTCTTTTTCTAATACCTTTTAGCTTTTCATTTTTTAGTGAAAAAGGAAAAAGAGTTCATTCTTTTTTTTTTTTTTTTCAAAATGAAACAAATTAAACGTTTAACATTGTTGAGCAGATAGATTCAAAGCCAATTTATTTTTCATTAATTCAACAAAGTTTTAAATTTAGTACAAATTAAACTGAAAATTTCATTTTGCTTTTAACATAAAAAATAATACTTTTTTGTTTTTCAATTAGCGATTCGGAATAGCAAAAGTATTCATATTTTATCTTATCATGTCTTATCTTATCTTATCATAATCCAACAAAATTTCAAATGGTTCAATGAATGAAATAATTATTAGAATAGATAAGATTCAGTTAATTTTTTTATCACCAAAACTTCATTTCAATTTTTTATAGTTAATAAAAAAAAAAAAAAAAAAAAAAAACAAAAGAATAATTTTTGTTAATTTTTTCATCCAAATAATATTTCTGACTCAATTACAAAAAAAAAAAAAAAAGATTTGTTTTAAAAAGAATTTTTTTTTCTGTTTTTTAAAATTAACAAAGCTCAAGAAGCGATAAAAATTAAATGTACAAAAAAAAAAAATTGAAAAATTTTCACAATTTCTAAAATATTTCGAAAAATTTTAAAAAATATTTTATATATAATTCAAGCGAACATTTTATTTGTAAATGATACTTTTTTTTTTTTTTTCAAATAAACCTGTTTTTTTTTTTTTTAACAAATACAAAAATTGAATGTCTAACATTTTTGTTACCCTATCATTATGTGTCAAAGTAATTTTACTGATACCGATACTATCCATTTCTTTTTTTTTTAAATTGTTCCTTTAAAATATTCTCAGAATATTGTTATAAATAAAAGTAGCGCTGATCAATTTTAAATTTTCATAAAGAAATAAAACTTTTTAATTATTACTTATAGTTTGTGAAAAAACAAAAAAAAAAAAATAATGTTACCAATAATAATAATATGAAGTGATTTTAACATAAACAACTATTAATTCTTTAAATTTTAATTTAAATTGTTGAATTTTGTTTATTATTTTAAAAATATATTAAACATTGTTAAATTATTATATTTTCAGGAAATGTATAAAAATTTTCAAATTATTATTTTTTTTTTTTTTTTTTAAATAAGAAATATTTGAATAATTTTTTGCTAAAAACAGTAAAAAAGAAAGAAAGAAAAAATCCTATTTACTCAAAATGTCTTTTTAAATCATTTTAAAATGACCTTTGCAAAAAAAAAAAAAAAAAAAAAAGAAGAAAGAACATCAAAGTATTAATGCCGATGTAATATATGCATGTTAATGCGGATCGAATCAAAAAATGATATCTTACTGATCATTATCATTTATACTAATGATTGTTATCTTTTAGACTGACTATGATATGATATCAATGATGATGACCTTATTGATGACCTCGGGTTTAACCTATAAATAAAAACGATCCATTTCCATTATACTATAATAATTCATCAATATTTACTAAATTATCCGAATGTATATAAATCAATTATTGATAATAATTATTATTAGTCTGAAAAGTATCAAATGTGAACAACAAAGAATATTTAATGTTTCTGAAGGAGCATCAATTGGATATATTATTGGATATATTAATGGTACTTCATCAGATGGTATTCAAGCTAATTTTTATATTGTTTATTCGGATAATAGTGGTGAAACCGAAAAAGTAAGTTATTAACAGTTATAAAGTATATACGAATAAATAAAATTCAATATTTCATTTTGGTTTAAATTTTTTTTTTTTAAATTTAAGATTGTATAATAAATTTATAAGGTTATTACCTTAAAAGATATCTGATAATAGTGGTGAAACCGAAAAAGTAAGTTATTAACAGTTATAAAGTATATACGAATAAATAAAATTCAATATTTCATTTTGGTTTAAATTTTTTTTTCAAATTTAAAATTGTATAATAAATTTATAAGGTTATTACCTTAAAAGATATCTGATAATAGTGGTGAAACCGAAAAAGTAAGTTATTAAAATAAAATTAAATATTTCATTTTAGTTTAAATTTTTTTTTTCTTTGAAAAAAAATTCTAAAATTGTATAACAAATTTATATGAATATTATTAAAAGTTCCAATGTTGATTTTTGTTTGTTTTTTTGATATTAAACTTTTTTGAAGTGTAAAATTTGCTAATAAAAATTTTCATTTAAGCATTATAAATTAAATAATTCAGTTTAGTTTAGTGTTTTAAAAAAGAAATTTGAAATGCATATCAAATTTATAAAATGTTATTAAAAAAAAAAAATATTAAAAAGAAAATCAGAAATCCATTTCAATGTTGAATTGTTGTTTTTGATAGTAAACTTTTTTGAAGTGTAAAATTCACTAATAAAAATTTTCATTTTAAACATTATGCTTTAAATATTTCATTTTAGTTGAAATTTTTTTAAAAAAAAAAAAATGTAAAATGCATAACAAATTAATATTAAAAAATATTTTAAAAAAAATCAAAATTCCATTTTAATGTTGAATTTTTGTTTTTAACATAACTTTTCTTTTCTTTTTTTTTTTAAAAAAAATTAAATTAGGTTATAAGCATACTGTAATCGATAATTTGCTCTTTTTTAATTGTGAAAAATTTCAATTTTTTTTTTTTATCAAAATTTTAAAATTTATAATAATTTGTAGTAATTTAAATAAATTGAAAATTTAAGTATTCATAACTAGACGATAAATTAATTATAAATAGAGGTTAAATGGATTGAAATTAGTTAATTTGTAAGGTCATCGATGCATGTGCTACCATTATTGTTGAACAATTAAAATACTTAGTAAACATTTTAATTTTTCATTTCATTTGCTACTTTTATAAATTTTCAACAAGAAAACAAAGAGTATTAAATTTAAAAAATTTTAAAACTTTCGAAAAAAAAAAAACGATGAAAAAGCGCTATGGTTGATATAATGAATAAAACTTTTCTGTACAATCATTCATTCAAAAAAAAAAAAAAAAAAAAGAACTTTTTTATTTTAAACTTTTTCATATTATTTTTTTTCAATCGTATTTTTTTGAATAAATTTCATTTTATCACTTTTTTAATTTAATAATTTCTTCATTCAAATATTCGTTTTTTAAAGAGAGAAATTAAAAAAAAAAAGCTTTTCTCTACGAAGAATTCAAATTTAAACTTCGAATTACTCTAAATTTTACTGAAACAATCAATAAATAAATTTTAGTTTCATTTCTCAAAAGAACATTGCAATCTTTTTAAGAAAAATGCTGCAAAGTACATTTAACTAAAATTAAATTTGCAATTTTCTTTTTTTTTTTTTTTTTTTTTTTCAAAGAAGCTAAAAATTGATGAAAAAAATTAAATACTATTTGAACGATAAGTTAGCAAGCAGAAAAAATGACAAAAATAAATTGAAAAGCAATTTTCATTTTTTTTTTTTCCAAAGAAACTTTTTTTCTTTTTTCGAGTATTAAAAGATGATTAACACTTATCATTTATCATTTATCATTTGCTCTAATCGGGAATTTTTTAAAAGTTAAATATAAATGAATGATTGATACTTTATTGATTTCATTCTTTAAATCATTTATAAATTTTAAAATAATTTCATCGAAAGATTCAAATTGACGTGTGAATTACGTGTTAGCATTTGCTTTAATTGTAGTATTTGGCTGTAGAAGAAGTAAGTGGTGAAATACGTGTGTTACGTGAACTGGATTACGAACGTCGTACTTCATATCATCTAATTGCTGTACCCATAAATCGTCCACAACAAGAAGAAGCAATTCATGTTATAGTGAATGTTATTGATGAAAATGATAATACACCAACTTTTCCAGTTTCTTCGATTGACGTACGTTTTACTTTATTAAATAACATTACGTTAATTTACGTTAACTATCCTAACATTAGGTTAATTTACGTTAACTATCCTAACATTAGATTAATTTACGTTAACTATGCTAATATTACATTAATTTATGCTAGCTATGCCAACATTACGTTAATTTACGTTAACTATACTAACATAACGTCAGTTTACGTTGACTATGCTAACATTACGTTAACTAGGCTAACATTACGTTAATTCACGTTAACTATGCTAACATTACGTTAGTTTACGTTAACTATGCTAACAAATAACATTACGTTAATTTACGTTAATTATGATAACATTACGTTAATTTACGTTAACTATGCTAACATTACGTTGACTTACGTTAACTATGCTAACATTACGTTAGTTTACGTTAACTATGCTAACATTACGTTAACTTTTCGGACTTCTTCGACTGACTTTTTAATAATTCATTTGCAAAATTAATTAAAAAAAAAAAATTAAATAATCGAAATTAAACAAATGAATTTAAATAAAAATTTGAAAAGAAATAAATTATGCAATATAAGCTTATAATCGAATTTTCTTATCACAAATAACAAATTTTCTTGTAAGTAAATTACAAAAATATTTTTTTTTTTTTTTTTCATCTTTCCAAGCAATCAAATTTTAATCTTAAATTACGTTTATTATTCAGCAATTTTGGTAATGGTTTATTTTCAACGAAAAAAAAAAGTTAATTTAAAAAAAAAAAACAAAAATTAGTCAAATCAAAAATATTTTATAAATCATAATAACTCACTATTACCATTCAAATAACCATTAAAAATTAAATCATTTAATTATACTAATTGCAAGGAATAAAAATTAAATTAAATTTTAAGTAATCAAAAAATTGATAAACTGTAAATTCTGTTATTTTTTTTTAAATTGAAAAAAAAAAAAAATTTCTCAAATTATTTCTGTGCAAAATTTAAATCGAAATTCCGCATCTTTTTTTTTTTTCCATTTTTAATGATGGAAAATATAATATAAAATTTGTTTGCAGTTAAATTTTTGTTCAAAATGAAATAAAATAAAAACAAAAAAAAAAAAAAGTAAATAAATAAATTAAAAAAAATAAAAATTTTCCATTTTCAAATAATGATTCAATCTTTCCAGCGGAAGTATATGCATTTGACCTCATTTTAAATTGAATTCAAAGAAAAAAGCTTTTTGCTCTACTGTCATAGTAAAATGTCACTTTTATAAAATTACTGTAACATCGATGTTTATCGTTTTTTTGATTTCAATTAATGAAATTTTCAAGACATAAATTTTAATTTCAACTTATAAATGAATTATAATATAAAATGGAAAAAAAAAAAAAAGTATTTAGCTTAATTTGTAAACCCTTCATAAATGGAAAAAAAAAATTTTCTTTTTTTTTGTAATTTATTAATTTATACAAGTTTAATTTTATATTTATACAAGTAAATTGTTTACTAATTTGAATATTTGTTAAAATTTTGATAATTGAATTAAAAAAAAAAAAAAAAAAATTGAATATTTGTTAAAATTTTAATAAATTGAATAAAGTAAAGAAATCTTTTTACTGTAATATTAATAATTTTCTTTCTTTCTCTTTCCCTCTCTCTCTCTCTCTCTCGCTTTTTTCCTTTTTACTAAAATTCATTTCGGTATGTGAAAAATTTTTCAAATTGAAACAAAAAAAAAAAAAGAGAAAAAGAGAAAAATTGAATATAATGTAATGAAATAACCGTTCGTTCCCACATTCAACAATAAAAGAAAAGGGCGGAAGAGTGACACACCACCGGACAAGGTGACATTTATGTCCTGGAAGGAAGGAAAAGTGATTGTCACAGTTGGATATTTTTCTACTCCAATGAAATATATTTTGTTGTAAATAGGACAAAAGACATTATTACTAAATTATATGAAAAGGAAAATTTCAAATTTTCAAATTTACTAAGCAACAAAATAAAATATAAAATTGTTAATGTAATTTTACTTCATTTAATTTAATTTTTCTTTACAAATTTTTTTTTTTTACAAAGGTATCAAAAAATTTAACAATTTATTTAATTATATGTTTTGAGTAGGAAAAAAAAAAAGTACAAAATTTTTTAGGTGTCTATTTCTGAATTTGCTGCATTAAATTCGGAAATTTCATTACCACCAGCAGTGGATAATGATTCGCCTCCGTTATCAGTAATCCGGTATCATATCTTATCCGGAAATGTCAATAATGCATTCAAGTATTATATTTAAATATTTTTAATCTAAATTTCACCTTTTTTTTTTTTTTTTTTTTTTTGCTATGAGAAATGATAAAATAAAAAAAATTAAAGAAAAAGATTTATGATTGAAAGTGAAATTTCCTTTTGTTAAATTTAGCCATAAATTTATTTACTATTTTATCAAATACAAAATTTAAGTATGAATGAGTAATTGTTAATAATTTTGAAATGTTTTAAAATATACTTTATCAGTTATTCATTGTAAAAATAATTAGTAATTTAATAATTTATTAATTTTTTAATTTAAGATTATCAAGTAAACGAATCAATTCAAAATTATATGTTGATTTGATTGTAAATGGACAATTGGATCGAGAATATCGCAGCCAATATGAATTACTTATTGAAGCATTAGATGGTGGCAATCCACCAAAGTATTATTATTATTTTTTTTTCTTTCCAAAATTTTTTTTGTAAATTTAAAAAAAAAAAAAAAAATTGGCATAAATAATAATTAAATGTTTTTAGTAAAAGTTTTTAATTAATTTTCTAGCAAAATATCAAATATTTTCTATTCATTGATTAGCTTTATTTAATAGTAAAAGAGTTTTCTTTTTTTTTCATCAAAATTATTTATTAAAAATTATTTGCTATTAAAAGTAAAAAAAATTTTTGCAAATTATAAATATTATTATTAAAGTACAAAAAAATCTTAGTGAAATTAATGTTAAAAGATGTGAAAGAAAAATGAGAATAAATTAAAGGAAAAATAAAATTAAAGCAATCAATCGTTACAAATTTTAAAAAATTATTTAAAAAAAAAAAAGAACAAAAGAATAACTCTGTGCATTGTATAAATATAATATGTTATGATAAGAAAATAGCATAAATAAAATTTTAGTAAATCAAAAAAAAAAAGGAGAGAAACAATGAAAGTCAGATAAAATACTGATCAAATAAAATTAGATTGAATATTATCCCTGAATATGATACTTTGATTATTCAGTGATTGATTATTTATCAGTAATTGATTATTCAGATAATTGATTACTCATTATTATCCCTAAATATGATACTTTGATTATTCAGTGATTGATTATTTATCAGTAATTGATTATTCAGATAATTGATTACTCATTATTATCCCTAAATATGATACTTTGATTATTCAGTGATTGATTATTTATCAGTAATTGATTATTCAGATAATTGATTATCATTATTATCATTATATATTGATTATTTAGATAATTGATTACTCAATATTTTTCCTAAAAACATGATATTTTGATTATTCAGTAATTGATTAATCAGATTATAAATAATTGATTATTTAGATAATTGATTACTCAATATTTTTCCTAAAAACATGATATTTTGATTATTCAGTAATTGATTAATCAGATTATAAATAATTGATTATTTAGATAATTGATTACTCAATATTTTTCCTAAAAACATGATATTTTGATTATTCAGTGACTGATTATTTATCAGTAATTGATTATTCTGATAATTGATTTCTCAATATTTTCCCTAAAAACATGATATTTTGATTATTCAGTAATTGATTAATCAGATTATAAGTAATTGATTATTTAGATAATTGATTACTCGATATTTTTCTTAAAAACATGATATTTTGATTATTCAGTGACTAATTGTTTATCAGTAATTGATTATTCTGATAATTGATTACTCAATATTTTCTCTAAAAACATGATATTTTGATTATTCATTATTCATAATCTGATTGATTAATCAGATTATCAGTAATTGATTATTTAGATAATTGATTATTCAGTATTTTCTCTAAACATGATAAGAAAATAGAAAAAAAAAAAGCAAAATCTTAGTGAATGAAATGAAAGCAGCAAAAGTTAAAACTAATTTGAATGAAATAATGATCAATTAAAATTTGATCAATTTTAATAATTAATTATTCAATGATATTTTAGTAGTGGTACAATGCTTGTAAATGTTACAATTCTTGATGCAAATGATAATGCGCCAGAATTTAATCAAACTGAATATGGCGCTTTTGTCCCATTGAATGTATCAATGAATGATATTGTTGCAGCTGTTCATGCCATAGATTTTGACCTTGGCGAAAATGCTCGAATAGCTTACTCAATTGCAAAGGTTAAAAAAAAGAAAAAAAATAATTTAATAAATTCATTTTTTATTCTTTTACTTTTTTCCATCATTTTTATTTTACCTAATTTCTTTTTCTTTTTAATCATTTATTTTTTTTAAAAAAAAAGAAGTAAAAAATGTTTTTAATATTATTTTTAAAAATATATTTAATTTAAAATGTAAATTTCTTCTTTTTTTTTTTTTTGTTTATAGAGTCATTCTGATTTAAAACTTCCATTTGAAATTGATGGTGAAAGTGGTATAGTACGAGTAACTGATCCGGCACTTCTCATTTCTGGTTCAATTTATCAACTTTTAATTGTTGCAAATGATCATGGATTACCACAACCACTTGAATCAACAACTTTTCTTACAATAACAATTGAAAAGAGTAATCAATCAAAGATTAACTTTGATATCATTTGGCTTACTGATAATAATCAACCGGAAATTTATGAAAATATTACAGTAGGATATGTTATTGCTCGGATTACTGTACAAAATGCACCGCAAAAAAGGTTTGTACAATTTGAAATTTTTTTTTTTTTTAATTTAAAAAAAAATTTAAATATATGAAAAAAAAAAAGTAAAATTATTTAACATTTTCTTTTTTCTTTTATGTTTATTCTTTCTTATTTTATTTCAATTAAAATTTTTAATAAAATAAATGAAACTATTCATTGGGTGGAAAATTTTTTTAAAATTATTTTAAAATGAATTTTAAAATTAATTAATTTTAAAATTGTAGTGAATTATTTGTAAATGGATGTGATGCATTATGTATTAAAGAAACTGATTCATTGGATGTTTACTTAGTGATTGCATGTGGATCATTTGATCGAGAGCAAAAATCTAAATATAATTTATTGTTTACGATGAAATCACACGGAAAACAATTATTAGAGATTCCGGTATTTCTTGAGGTAAATTTTTTTGATTTTTTTTTTTGCATAAATTAAATTTTAATTTTAATTAATTTAACATATAATTTAAATGGATTTTTATAAGATTTCTAGATTTATTTGGTATTTTTTTTTATCTTTTTCAGATAATTTTTTTGATATTTTTTTTATGGAAATTTGTTAATTTTAATTTTAATTAATTTAACATACAATTTAAGTGGTTTTTTTTTTTATAAGATTTCTTGATTTATTTGATATTTCTTTTTTCTTTTTTTTTTTTTTGCTCATAAATTTTTTAATATTTTTTCTAGAAATTTTTGTAAATTTTAGTTCTAATTGATTTAATATATAATTTAAATGGAATATATGTATTACAAGATTTTTAGATTAAAATTTCATTTAAAAAAAAAAAATATTAAAAAATAATTTTTAGATACTTGATGTTAACGATAATGCACCTAAATTTGACAAATCACCAATTCATGTGATATTTAATCAATCTACAACACAATTTAAATTAATACGAATTCATGCGACCGATTTGGATAGCGGTAAAAACGGACGAATAAATTATAGTCTTTCCGGTACAAATCAATTCAAAATTGAATCTGATACCGGTATTCTTAGCATTCATGAAAATGTTTGTCCTTTTTTTTTTTTCTCTTCCTCTTTTATTTCTTTTAGAAATTTTTAAACTTACATCATTAATTATACTAATTAATTTGTTTATATCAAAATAAATTTCAAATTCTTTTAACAATTATATTTCATATAATTTTTATTGACTTTTTTTTTTGATTGTTCAAAAAAAGTTTTTTTTTTTTTTTTTTAAATTTAAATGTTACATTCTTTTATAATTTTTTAAACATACTATTTTTATATTATTAATTAATTTGTTTATATCAAAATAAATTTCAAAATTATTTTAACAATTATATTTTATATTTAACAATTATATATATATATTTCAATTTTTACTACCTTTTTTTTTTTAAGAAAAAAAATAAAAAAATTAAATTGTTTACAGTTTGATTGTTTACTAAATCGAGAATATCATTTTCGTGTTTGCGCCAAAGATTTTGGCACACCATCGTTATCAACAACTGTTGATGTTATTGCTGAAATAATTGATAGTAATGGTCAACCGCCTTTGTTTACAAAACCGTTATATGATGTGACCATTGGAGAGGATATCGAATCAGGCACTTGTCTTCTCAAGGTCATTTTATCATTTCTTATTTATCAAATTCAAAAAAAAAAAAAAGTAGAAAAAGAAATGATAAAAAAAAAAAAAAAGAAAAGTGCGCAAAACAATAAACGAATTGATTTTTAATAAAAAAAATTAAAAAAATGGCATGGATTTAATGTAGCAAATAAAAAAAGAAAGAATAATAAAGTGAAATAAATGTATTATATAAATTTAAATTGATACTTAAATACTTGAATACTTGAATTTATTACAAATTGATAAGCGTATAATACTATTACCTTCTTCTTTCTTTCTTTTTTTTTTTTCCTTTTCTTTTCATTTAGTGTAATATTTCGTTGAATGAAAGAGAAGAAGTTTTGATGATAAATTAATTGGAAATTAAATGGTTTACAATTAAAAATTAATTAATACAAGTTTTTAATTATTTGAAGTGTAATCCAAATTCAATTTCATGTTGAGTTTTCTTTTTTTTTTCTTTTTTTTAAACAGTATGTCAACAAATATAGTAATAAACATTCGTTTTAAAATGAAAGAGAAGTGTAAGTGAAACGGAAGTGGAAAATAGGATTTTATTGAATTGAAGAAGAGAATTTAATTAATTAATTAATCGTTTTAACTTTTTTTTTTTTTTTTTCTATGACAAAAGATCAAAAATTCTTCGTTTTACCTAAATGTTACAATACATTTTGAAAAGAATTATATTTGTTTAAAATAATAAATTCATTAGAAATTAAGTGGTAATTATACCGAATGCTACATAATTTTTAATTTTAAATATATTTTAAAAATATTTTAAATTCAATATTCTTACATTCAATTTTTTAAATTATACATTTTGATTATATGAATGAATAATCATTTGAAATGTTTTAAAATAGTTTAGTTTTTTTTTATTTAATTTTTAAATTATAATCTAAAATTTGGTAGCAGTTTATATAAGTAATTAATTACTGCTAAAATTTTCATTTTTTATTTTGAATACAAATGACTGAATAATCATTTAAATCTTGCAAACAATTCAATTGTCCATTGAAACTTTTAAACTATAATCTAATATTTATTTGGTAGCTGTTTATATAAGGAATTAGTTAAATAAACTTAATTTAGAAATTTATTAAAGTAGCATTTGTTTGGGTTGAGCTGTTAAGCTTAGATCAATTGATCATCTACTTTTGCTTATTTACATTTGACAAATTGTTGACATTTTTCCTATTTGCAATTTCATTATTATTGGTTAGTAGTAATCAATGCAAAATATTGAAATATTTACTTTACTAAAAGTAATCTCATAATTTATGATCATTGTTTAATTCTTTTTAAGCATCTAAGAAGCACAGTGATATATTAAATATAAATTAATTAGAAAGTCAATCAATTGGGGGTCATTTTTGGGTCATTTATTTCATTTTCAAAATAATCCCATCATATGGTACCATCTAATCAGGTCACTTATTTCATTTTTAAAAATAATTTCATCAATATATATATTTATTGAAAATGGAAAGGAAAGAATTGTATGACTTTGTATACAACTATTACTTCTCAGAAATAAATGTGGTAAACATATGTGACATGATGTGACAACTGGAACAGATACAGAGATAGATGAAACTTAAGTTTGAAAAGAATATATTGCTAAGGTCATTGACTCTTTTTACTAAAACAGGGATTTACACTTTACTTTCTCTACTTTATTATTATTGCTATTATTATTATTATTACTATTTCACATTCATTTTAATAATTATTCCTTAATATATTGTGTAGTACAATGGAATTAATAAGTCTTTTCAGTGCATTTTATTCAAATTTCACAAAATTTTATGCAAAATTTTAATAAAATTTATAAGAAATTTTTTCGCATATTCGCAACAATTTAAATTTATTCAATAGTTACATGTAATAATGCATAATTATGGATTATTTATGTAATTTTAAATGATATAATTATTACACAAATAATTTGTCATAGAAGAATGACATGGCAAAAAACAAGAGAGAGAGAGAGAGAGAGAGAGAGAGAGAGAGAAAGAAAGGGAAAAGGGTGACAATAAAAATTATTGTAAACAAAATTTGATTAGATCAGATAAACATTTAATTCATTCTTAAATGATTAGAAAGTAGAAATAATTCATTTTTTCTTTTTTTTTTTTGAAAATGATATAAAATAATCAAAAAGGAAAAAATTTCAAAAAAAAAAAAAAAGAAAATTGAAATAATTCGTTGAAAGAAATTAATTAAAAAATCTTTTTAAAAAATAGTACTGATAATAATGATAAATGTATTTAAGATTAGTGATAAGACAGTAAATTATTTTTTATTTAAGATTAGTGATAAATGTATTTAAGATTAGTGATAAGACAGTAAATTATTTGTATGATTCATCTGAAGGAAAAAAAAATAAATAAAAAATTACTTTTATTTAATTTTCAAATTATTTCTTTTAAATGCATAAAAAAAAAGAAAACAAAAAAGAAAAAATATTTTTTTTTATTGACAAAAAAAAAAAAATTTTGAAAATGCTAAAATTGTTATTAACTTTTAATCAATTATTTGAAGAAATTTTTAATTTTTGAAAAAGATATTAAAATTAGAATTACTTTATAATCTACCATTAATGATTTATTATTTAGTCATTTAGCAAGAATAAATTGATGTCACGCTAATGAACTTCCGCTTCAATGCCTTTTAGTGAACTTGATTAGAAATTTAATTTTAAATTAATTAAAGCCTCAAATATGATTTTACCTTTATGCTTCAATCATGAAACTAAACCTTTTAAAATATACAATTACTTTAAATTACTCATACTTTTAGCATTATAAAGTTATCATTTCAGGGGTGTTATTTTAGAAATTACCATCAAATATAAAATTATTATTTTATACATTTCATTGTTTGAATATTTCTTAATTATTATTTATTAAAAATTATTATATATATACTTTTAATTATTAAAGTTTTTAACCTTTGACATTGTGAAAAAAAATAATACTTTGATAATTTAAATAATTTTTTTATTTTGACGATGAAACAATTTGCTTTGTCGAATTTCTAGCTGATATATCTGAACGATTTGCTGCTTCATCTAATAAATTTAGCATTTCTTCGCCTTTTTTCGATTCTTTTTCTGGTATTTCCATTTTTAACTGAAATTTTGCATTTTTTTCAAAAAAAGAAAAAATTTTTTTTTATTAAAATTGAAATTAATTTATAGTAATATAAATGATAAAAAATAATTACAAATTACAAATTTAAATTTTAAAGTTTATTTTTAAAGTTTTTTTTTTTTTTTTTTAAATTAACAAGATGATATAACAAAATTTAAAAAAATTTTTTCCTATCTTAAATTTGTTTATTTTTTTTTTTTTTTTTTTATAATTTTTAGTTAAGGAGAAAGAGATAAAAAATTAAAAAATTTTTCTTAATTTCTTAAATTTTCATGCTTTTTTAATTTATGTAAATTTTAGAAATAAATATTTCAAAATTTTCAAATAAATATTAAAGAAAAGATGATAAAAGATTAAGAGTTAATATGCTAATGTCGTAGTGTCACCATAATCTTCAAAATGACAAATGTCACATTTAAAATCAATTCAATTTTTTTTTCTCATACAAAAAAAAAAAAAAAAAAAATAGTTTAATCTTTTTAAAGATGATAACAAAGTTAAAGTTAGTATTACTTTAAAGTATGAAACGTATTAATGTTGTTAAAAGTTGACAGTTTTAGATTGAGTGAACAATCTTTCTTCTTTAAGCGATAATAGATTTGAGTAGTAGTAGTATTGACGATGTGACATTTAAATGTGTCCTTGACAATAAGCGACACTATTCATTGCCATCACCATCAAATAATTTCTCAATGGAATTTATCTCTGATAATCTCTCATTTCAATTAGCTATTTTTAGGGACAAAGATAAAAGGAATAAGTAATAATCAAAAAAAAAAAGGATTTAATCTTTAGAAAATAATCCATTCTAATACTTTATGTAAATTTCAATTTCATTTAAAAAAAAAAAAAGTAGGTCATCTGTTCTAAAAAAAAAACAGTTAAATCTATTTATAAAAAACTAATTTCAAGGTTAAATCATACAAATAAAAACATCGTAAAAATTTTGATAGCAAATAAAAGTAATAAAAAAAGGAAGGAAAAAGGTATAAAACTTTTTTCATTTTTAGAAATTGAAAAAAAAATTTTTAATTTAAATTTTTGAAATATAATAAAAAAAAAAATTTTTTTTTTTTAATTTTTACATCAGCAATTGCTGCAGTAATTGTTTTACGATGTTTTCGAGCATCGATATGAGTTATTGTTGTGATTGTTTTATTACATTCTTGCAGAAATGTTTGTTCCTCCATTTCATCCGTAAATAAACTCAATTCAAATCCTTAAATTTTAGAATTTAATTTAAAAAGAAATTCAAAAAAAAAAAGAGAAAAGACAGATTATTAATTATTTTTAAATTTAAAAAATTATATAATTCATAGAAATTATTACACTTTACAACAATTTGTTTTTTTTTTTTGTCTGTAAATTCAATTCTTTTTTTTTTTTTTTTTAAATTATTTAAAATTTTACAAAAAGGAAAAACCTTTTTGTTGATTTCGTTGAGGACTGATAATTAGTGCTGATAATAGTTGTAACTCATCATCTGGTAATGGATTCTCAGATTTCATTATTATTCCATCATTTTTTACCTGAAATTTAGACATTGCTAAAATAAAAGAGACAAATTTATTTGAATAAAATTTAAATTCACTAAAAATTTGTTTTGATTAAAATTTAAATTCACTAAAAATTTATTTTGATTAAAATTTAAATTCATTAAAAATTTATTTGAGTAAAATTTTAATTCATTAAAAATTTATTTGAGTAAAATTTAAATTCATTAAAAATTTATTTGAGTAAAATTTAAATCCATTAAAAATTTATTTGAGTAAAATTTAAATTCACTAAAAATTTATTTTGGTTGAAATTTAAATTCACTATCATTTATTTAATTAAATAAAATATCACAATTAAATCTTTTTTTATTATGATAAAAGAATAGTATTGTATAACAGATTATTTCTATTAGTAGAAATTTCTTTCAATTCTTTCTTTTTTTTTTCTCATCTTTTCAAATTTAAATTTTTAATAAAATTTCGCAAAAAGAAAACAACAACAACCTGTAAAGTTTCTGGTGACACATACATATTACAACCTAATGTTGTACCTCTATCATTCATATTCAATTCTATACTTCCCTGAAATAATTAATAATTAAAATTAGCATAAAATTAATTTAGGCATAATTAAATTAAATTAGCATAAAATTAATTTAAGCATGACGTAATGATAGTAATTTTTTTTCCTATTACTTTTTTTTTCCTAAAATATTTTTTTTTCATAAATTTTTGCCAAATATAATAACTATAACATTTTATGCATAATCAGTAAAAATTGAATAAATTAATCTAAAAATGCTCAAAAATTAATTGTAACATTTTAATATTAATAACTTTTATTAATACTTTTTAAATTAAAATTATCCATTTCATTTCAATTTTTCAAATTAAAAATTAAAAAAATTTTAAATTTAACCTTTGTGATGCATGGCTTATATGAAATGACATTATCATCGGTTATGAATGATTCCGAAAAAGTTTTTCCGTCACTGTCAAAATATCTGATCATTCCAGGTGGTTTACCATTGTAGGGTAATTGATAATTTGTTTCCGGAAAAAGAATAAAACGTCCGTCATCCGTTTGCTTATTTTCACGTACGAACAATGATATATTCACACGTAAATCCTTAAAATAAAAATTAATTCATTTAAAACAAGAGATAATAAAATATTTAAATCAAAAAATAATAAAATAATATGAAATTGAAAAATTTTTCATTTCATTAGATCGAAATTAATAATTCATTGTCATTAATTTCATTTGTAAAATATATATATAATCGATTAAGTATCGATTAAAAATATTATTGAATATCGAATTAATTATATTTGAATTAGTTAAAATACTCATATTGCTAATTAGTATTATTATTATTATTTTATTCAAACCTGAAAAAAATTTAACAAACAGCTTCGAATCATTGCTTGCTCCCAGAGTGGAATTTTATGATAAGTTAGAATAACCTAAAATTAGTGAAATAATTTAGAATTGAATAATAATAATAATATAATTAAATTTATTATCATATAATTATTAATCATCATTATCATATTATGATAATATTTTATAATTTAAGAATTTTATTTTTTTTTTTTTTACATATGAATATAAAAAGGAAATTTTATTTCATTTTAATTTATCAATTAATTAATATTTTTTTTTTAAAATTACTTTTAACTTATTTCATTTTTTTTTTTATTTCTTTTCAACAATAAAAAAAAATTGAATAAAAACCATTCGATGAGCCACGTCCAAGAATTGATTTAATTTTTGATCATCACGTAAAATTTCACGGACGCAATCAAAATGATTAAGCGTAATGAAGACGATATTTTCAGGTCCATTGCAAAGTTGAAGTTGATATTTGTATGTCATTGTCATCAATGCATATAATTTATCCATGCTTTTAAAAAAAAAAAAAAAAAATGGAATGAAATGAATGAAATTGCATAGTATGAATAGAAAGTGAAATAGGAATTAAATTAGATTGAAAAATTAAAATAGTTAAATTACGATTATTAATCAATAAAGAATTATCTTTTTTTTTTTTTTTTTAATTAAAATAATTTGAAGTTGAGGAATATTAAGCGAAGAAAATGTAACAAATTTCAATTATTTCATTTTATTAATTCAAATAAATTAAAATTGTGAAATTTTAAATGAAAAAATACAACAAATTATTTCATTTTATTAACTAAATTTATTTGAAATTGTGAAATTTTAAATAAGGAAAATGTAACAAATTTCAATTATTTCATTTTTTAAATTATAGAAAAAAATTTAAATTGTGAAATGACAAATGAAAAAATACAACAAATTTCAATTATTTCATTTTTTAAATTAAAAAAAATTTTAAATTGTGAAATACTAAATGAAAAAAATAACAAATTTCAATTATTTCATTTTATTAATTCAAATAAATTAAAATTGTGAAATTTTAAATGAAAAAATACAACAAGTTATTTCATTTTATTATCTAAATTTATTTGAAATTATGAAATTTTAAATAAGGAAAATTTAACAAATTTCAATTATTTCACTTTTTAAATTAAAAAAAATTTTAAATTGTAAAATATTAAATGAAGAAAATGTAACAAATTTCAATTATTTCATTTCATTAATTAAAATAAATTAAAATTGTCAAATATTAAATGAAAAAAAAATGTATCAAATTACAATTACCTCATTTTATCAAGTCTCATAATGGTTGAATGAATAATTTTTTCAAAAAAAATTCGCATAATTTGTTTGCTACAAATATATTGTGGCTTAAATAATTCTTTTAAAAATATCGTATTAAATAAAATATGTGAAATATCTCGTAGCACTTGTGTCATCCTCTCTTTGTCAACATTTTGAGCCTAAAAATTTAAAACAAAACAAAAAAAAAAAAAAAAAAACAATTTTTTTTTTCACATCCAAAAATTTAAATTTTTACTTCCTAAAATTTCAGTCTTATTGATTAGTGAAAGAAATTTAAAATTTTACAATATTTAAATTAGTGTAAAAAAAAAAAAAGATTTTTTTTTTTTTGTTTTTTAAAATATTTTATAAATTTTTATGAAAATTATTAAAAAAAAAAAAAAGAATTAAAATACCTTTAAACGTTGCTGCAAAATATAAATCATTTCGCTGCCCACATTAAGTATTAGCAAAGGCATACATTTCAATGACATCCTTCTGTTAAATTTTAATTTAATTAATTCAATACTTAATAAAAGTTTAAATTATTTAATTTTTAATCTAATGATTTGATCTTTGATCTATTTATCTGTAGAATCTGCGTAGATTATTTGATACTCAAATCAATTTTATTTTGCTAAAAGATAGTTAAAATTTAAAGTAATTAAAGAGAGAGGAAGAGAGAGACAGGGAGAGAGGGAGAGAGAGAGAGAAAGAAATAAAATATGTAATAATCGTTTCCATGGTGATAAAAGGGAAAAAGTGAAATTTAGGGAATTATTGAATAAAATTAGAAATGATTTACAGCAAACGTTTTTAAGGTAACAGCGAATAATAGTTGTGGCAATGAAAGTAATGTACAGTACAGTTTATCAAAAACTGATCCGGTCAACGAACCATTCCGAATTGATGCACAATCCGGAACAATATGTCTCGAATCAATTCTTGATTATGAACAATGCACCATTTATCAGCTTCATGTTTATGCTCATAATATAAGTTAGTGCTTAAGTTATACTTTCAATAACATATTCAATCACACACGTAGTTTACACGTACGTTATTTAAGTGTAAACAATTTTAGTACGTGTAGGATGAGTATTTTTCATAAATTATACTATACTATTTGTTATTCATTTATCAGATATATTCTTGCAATGCAGCATGCATTTGAAATGCATGCTGCATACTGCATGCCGCACAATGAGCGCTTTATTACTACTCATCATAAAATGATAGCAGATGGCATTTAATTAATTGTAAATGAAATTCTCAAAATGCACAGACAAATAATTTATGCATAATACTCGCAAAATGCAAATGCAAAATGCAATCTTTTAAATACTTTTGCCGCATAAGTAGCAAAAATGACAGATGGATGATGCATTTCTTACGAATGAGATTTATGAGCTTTAGACAGGACAATTGCGCTTTTCTTTTTAATATATTTTGCAGATGGTCACAAAAAAAAAAAAAAAAAAAAAAAAATGAAATTAATTAATTAAATTAATTTGCATAAAGCATTGTTATAAAATAAATTAATAAAAAAAAAAAAGAAATTAATAAAAATTGCTATGTTTTAGATGGACGATTCAGTCGAGCATTAGTAAATATTCACGTGAAAGACGTAAATGATAATTTACCAATATTTTACACGCAACAATATAACGTTTCAATACGAGAAAATATAGCAATGAATAGTTTACTCGTATTAATTTCAGCTAATGATGCTGATAGTGAAATTTATGGAAAGGTTTGTAAAATTATTTTTATTATCAAAAAAAAAAATTTTTTTTGTTGCATTTACTGAGATAAAAAATTTGATTATAGTTATAGGAGAAGAAAATGAATTGATAAGATATGATAAGAGATTAGAAATTATTTTTTGTTAACTATTTTCAAAAACATTTAAATATTTGAGTATTTATCAGCGAGTATATTTAAGGTAACGTGATTTACGTGAAAAAAATATCAATTGATTTTAATGTGATTTATGTGAAAAAGATATTAATGGATTTTAACGTGATTTACGTAAAAATGATGTTAATAGATTTTAACGTGATTTACCTGAAAAAGATATTAATAGATTTTAACGTGATTTACGCGAAAAAGATATTAATAGATTTTAATGTGATTTACGTGAAAAAGATATTAATAGATTTTAACGTGATTTACGTAAAAATGATGTTAATAGATTTTAACGTGATTTACGTGAAAAAAATATCAATTGATTTTAATGTGATTTACGTGAAAAAGATATTAATAGATTTTAAATTGCCATTGCATTTTGTGCTTTTCATTGAATTTTATTTGTTTTAATACTTGGATGAAACAATTGACGTCATTTCTAAATTCTATTTTAATGCTATTTTCAAAATTTTATTTTAATAACATTTCTAAAATTCTAAATTCTGTTTACCTTTCAGGTAACTTATCGATTTGAAACCGGTCAGTCGGATACGGATGCTTTCCGATTGGATGAAAAATCAGGTCGCTTATATGTAAAAAATAAATTATCAAAAAGAGATTATCATTTGAAAGTGGAAGCTATTGATGGAAGTGGATTAGTTAGCGAGAAAAAGGCATATTCTACAGTTTTTTTTTTTTTCAGAATATTTTCCGGAAGAAAAAAATAATAGTAATTTATAATTCGTTGTAATTTATCTAATAATTTATAAAAGAAAAAGAATAATAAAATAACTTACTAGAAAATTTATCTTTTATTTTAAAGTTAAAATGAACTATCTTTTATTTTTTATGTTAATTTAAAAAAAAAAAAATTTCCAAATTTTAGGCTACTGTTCATATCAGTGTTATCAGTAAATCCATATTAACACCACAATTTACAAATGCATTGTATGAATTTAATGTTTTAGAAGGAACTCTTCCAGGTATAATAATCGGTGAAGTAAGTTTTTGCAATTTAAAAAAATTTTTGTTTTTAAATTTTCCTTTAATTTTAAAAAATTTAATTAATCTTTTCTTTTTTCTAAAAAAAATTTTTTTTTTCTTTCTTTCATTTGTTTTTTTCAGGTTAAAGCTAAAGGATTTTTTCCGATAAATTATAATGCTTATTCCGGTGATCCGGATCATTTCTTTTCAATTAATGCTAAAAATGGTCAAATTAGCATTGCTCAATATTTAGATGCTGATAAATGGGAACAGTTATTACTTAATGTACAGGTAAATTAGTAATTTAAATTTTATTAAATTATTTACATATGCAAATTGAAAATCAAAATTAACTGATATCAAATGATAATATTATCAAATAATAATAATAATTTTTGTAGGCAATAATGGAAAATGGTGAAATGAATTATACGCAAGTTCTTATCAAATTAACTGATAGCAATGATAATGCACCAATTTTTGAATTAAATAAAATTGAATCATATGTTTATGAAAATTATCCAACAAATGTGCCATTCTTTGCTATACAAGCATATGATAAGGATCGTGGAAAGGTTATCAGTTAATTTTATTCTTTTTTAATTTAATATCAAAAATAATCAAATAAATAAAAGATAAAAATTTTTAAGTTTGTTTCTTTCTTTTTTCTTTTAATTTTTATTGCACAAATTCTTATCAAATTAATTTGATAACAATTTTTTTTTCTCGTTTTTTATTTTTAATATATAATTTTAAATAGTTTTATTGAAAAATTTTTATTATGTAATTTTAAAAAATAATTTTTTGAAAAAATAATAAATTGTTTTATTAAGTAACAATTTATGAAATTTAGAAAAAAAAAAGTAATTTGAAAATAATTTTTAGAATGGCGATGTGAAATATGCATTATTAGAAAGTGAACCAGAAGAATGTCCAATTTTAATTCAACCATTAAGTGGTGAATTAATATTAACAGCTAAATTAGATTTTGAATTAATCAATAAATATTGGTTAATAATAGAGGCGCAAGATGACGGAATACCGCCACGTTCATCTAATATCACTGTGATTGTAAATATTCTCGACATTAATGATAATAAACCTGAATTCAAGGAACAAATGTATTTTGTTGATGTAAGTTATTTGATATGATTATTTAATAGAAAAAAATGATTTTTTATCAAATATTAATTTAATGTATAAAATTTTTGAAAAATAAAAACATTTAAAAAAGAGAAAAATTTATGAATAATTTTGTTTTTTTTTTTTATTATTTTTTGCATATTAGCTATTTCAATTTAATTTTTAAAATTTTTCAATTTGTAATTAGGAAATAACTTTCAGTTTGTGATTTGTTTTTTCTTTTTTGGTTTTTTTTTTTTTTTTTTAATTTGATTTTTTATTTACTTATTTTGTTTGTTTGCTTTTAAAGATTATTCTTGATGTAATTGTTTGTTCTTCTTTTTTGATTTTATTAATTTTTTTTTTTTTTTAATCTTTCAAAAATTGGTGAAAATTTTTAGGTACCGGAAGATGCTCAACTTATGACTGATATTTTAACAGTTCAAGCAAAAGATTTAGATAGCGAACAAAATGCTAGGATTTCGTATCAATTCAGTGAAGAAAATGATAATTTCGGCATTAATTCGGTAACCGGAAATATTTTTGTGAAAGGAATACTTGATCGTGAAATGATTCCGGAATATCATTTATTTGTTATTGCTAGTGATAACGGAAAAGTGAAATTTTTATGTTTTTTTTTTTTTTTTAATATTTAAAAAGTTAAATTTACTTATAATAATATTAGAAATTCGTTAAATTAAAATGAATATGAATTTTGAAAAAATGTTTAATAATTTCATTTTTTAAAAGAAATAAATTGAAATACCATAAATATTACAAAAATTAAAATTAAAAAAAAAAAAAAAAAAAAGATTTCTTACTATATTCAACTTAAACTACCACAATTTTTTTAATCAAAATTATCAGAAATTAAAATTATATTATTTTTTTTTAAAGAAAAAAATTATAAATTAAAATATTGTGAATATTTTCAAAATTAAAATTTTAAAAAATTTTTTATTATAGACAATAAAATTACCTGTAAATATTAAATGAGAATTATATCATAAACTAAAATTTGAGAGTTAATAATAATTAAAAAATGTGATTAATTGTTAGAATATTTTTTTAGCCACAACTTTCATCTCAAACAAACATTCATATCAAAATTTTGGATGTCAATGATAATTCACCGTTATGTCCAGTGATAAATTCATTTACACTTAGTGATAAAATTGATATTGGTGTAACATTTGATAAAATAGTTGCAACGGATCCGGATGAAGGCTTAAACGGAAGCTTATTGTATCGATTAAAAGTAGAAGATATTAATTTTGCTATTCAGGAAAACGGTACGGATAATTTAATCATTCTATAACTCTTTACAAAAAAAAAAAAAAAAAAAAATGATAACCATTAAATGTGATAACAAAAAAAAAAGACAATGAAAATATTAAATTTTACTAAAAATAAAATTAATGAATGGATAAATTTTTCTTTTAATAATTAAATTTAAATAGGAAAAGATAATATTTTTGTAACAATATTTGCTTTTTTTTTGCTATTTTTGCTGTTTCAGAATTCTTTCTGATAAGTGATAATCATTTATGATAACAAAAAGTTATTTATTTACTTTATATAAAATTAAAACTTTTCATTAGTATTATAGGTGAATTATTTATGAAAAGAAAAATTACGATGAAAGATCACAGAAAAGAAAGTCGCTTATCAGTGATAATTTTTGATCGAAACGGTGATATGCAAGCACGATCAACTATTTGTCCAATTCGTATTATTATTGGAAAGTTAAATTCTAAAGTTAAATTATTGGAACCAATAGATCGTATTATTAGGTAAGAAATTTATTATTAATTTAAATTTATCAATTTTTTTTTGTTTAGAGATAAAAATGATAAATTATTAGTTAATTTTTTTTTATTAATTAATTTATTAACTTTTAAATTTTATTTAAAATTTTATATGACAGTTTATTAGTTAATTAATTAACTAATTATAAAATTTAATTAATTAATTGTTTTATTAGTATTATGACAGATTATGGTATAGTGCTATATATATGATTGTTAAATTAAACTATCACTAAATTTTATGCAAATTTATATAAATTAGATTTGAGTTATCGTAGATTACTTTAATATTATAAAATTATAATTGTTTCCTTTACTTTTCATTTTTTTTTGAAAAAATAAAAAAAATAATTTTAATTAATATTTATTAAAAATTTTGCAGAATTGATGAAAAATGCATATCGAATTGCTTGTTAAAAATATTGAATGCAACAGATGTTGCAAGATGGGAAATTAAATTGAGCGGTAGAAATTTCAATTTAAATTTTAATTTAAATTTCACAAAAAAAAAAATAAAAATTATCAGTTAGAATATTGTAAAAAAAAAAAAAAAAAAAAAAAAATTAACACTTTTATTATATTCTTTAGTCTTTTTTTCGATTTTTTTTAAAAAAAAAAAAAAAAAGAAATAAAAAATTTTGGAATAAAATTTGATAAATTTCAAATGACTGATTTCATTACTATTTTTTAGATATTTCAAATAATTTTGAAATTTGGAATAATACAATTCGTACTTCTGCATATTTCAATAAAACCACAATCAATGATAGTCAAACATTATCAGTGATAGCATTTGATAATGATAATCATCAACAACAAATTGTATTTATCATTCGTATATCAAAATTAGGATTGTCACATCGAGATGATAAGACAACTGTGATAAGGTTAAATGTTTTATATTCTCATCAATCAATTTAGGTTCATAATTGATCTATCAAGAAATGTTTCTGCATAATTTTTTAGTTTTTTATTAAAAAAGAAAATTTTTTTTTTAACTTATAAATAAATAAATGATAAGTTTTAACTGTTAAGATAAATGATAATGATAAGTTTTAACTGTTAAGATAAATGATAATAAATAAATGATAAGTTTTAACTGTTAAGATAAATGATAATAAATAAATGATAAGTTTTAACTGTTAAGACAACTGATAATAAATAAATGATAAGTTTTAACTGTTAAGATAAATGATAATAAATAAATGATAAGTTTTAACTGTTAAGATAAATGATAAGTTTTAACTGTTAAGATAAATGATAAGTTTTAACCGCTAAGATAAATGATAAGTTTTAACTGTTAAGATAAATGATAAAAAATAAATGATAAGTTTTAACTGTTAAGATAAATGATAAGTTTTAACTGCTAAGATAAATGATAAGTTTTAACTGTTAAGATAAATGATAAGTTTTAACTGCTAAGATAAATGATAAGTTTTAACTGTTAAGATAAATGATAATAAATTTTAGAATACCAAATACTATATCAGTTGGTTCAAAATTAGTAACACTAAGTAATGAAACGAATAATAATGCGACAATATGGCATTTAAAAAATGAGGTAAATGTTTTTTTTTTTTTTCCATTTATTTAAATAAATTTAAACAATTTTAAAACGAACAATTTTTTTTTTTTTTTGCTTTTCGTTTTGTATGAATGAAAAATTATTATTGTTTGAAGTGAAAACAATGTAATTCAAATTTAAATATTTAATTAAAATTTAGACAGATGCATTTTACCTGGATAGTATAACATCAACCTTATATTTGGCAACAAATATTCGTTGGTTTCATCAAAAAAGTTATCTTCTTAATGTGGAAAAATGGCATTCATTAAATTATAAGCAAATTGAACAACAAAATATTTACATTGAAATTGAGCCAACAAATATTCATTGGCCTCAATTTTTGAATTGTCCACGTTTTTTAACAATTAAAGAAAATGAGCCAACAGGTAAAAGTTATTAAAGATGCTAAAGTTAAAGGTATTAAAGCTAAAATTTTTGAAAAAAAAACATTCAATTAGCTGCAAAAAATTAACAAAAATTTTTTCTTTTCAAACAATTTTTTTTTTTTTTTCTTTCCTTTGTTTGTTTGTTTTTTTTTTTTTTTTTGTGGGAATGAAAAAATTATTATTGTTGAAATGAAAACAATGAAATTTAATGGAATATAATAGTTTTTATTATAGAAATAAAATAAAAATCTAAATGTTGAATTAATTTACATAAATTTTTTAATTAATTTCAGCGAAATATAATTTTGAATTAAATTTAGGTTCAATAATTGGAAAAGTATCTGCTGAGGATACGAATGATGATGATGATGATGGACAATTGAGCTATTCAATAGTTCAAAGTTCAACTGGATTATTTTCAATTGATCCAGATACTGCTGAATTATTGCTCATTCGTTCATTACATTGGGAAAAGGTTAATTAAATTAAATTAAATTAATCAAATACTAACCTAAAATATTATTGGTTTTTTTTTTTTCCTCTAATTCTTTGATAATAATTTTTAGAATATTCAAATTAGAAATATTAAAAAAATATTTTTGTAAGATTTTAGAAAGATAATAGATGAAACAAATAGAATAGCATATGAATAATGATAAAAAAAAATTGCAAAAAAAAAAAAAAAAATAAATTAAAATATAATTAATTTAAGTTTAATTAAAATTTTGAAATTAATTATTTCTAATTTTACTAAATTAAACTTTTTTTTAAAAAAGAAAACTATTTATTAATTCTAGGATTTATCATTGTTTCTGGTCGTTGAAGCAGAAAATAGTAACAGCGATGTGATAAGACGTTCACATTGTGTTGTTTTTATCAATGTTGAAGATATCAATGATCATCAACCACAATTTCTAAGGTTTCTTCTAATTTAATTAGTCGTATTTAATTTAAGAGTTTTTTTTTTTTTAAAAAAAAAAAAAACAAAATAAACATTATCGAAGATAATTTTTCCTTCGTTATTTTCATGGAACCAAAAATTTCGGTTAACTTTTATAAGTTTCATTTTTTAATTTTACTAAATTTAACTTTTTTTTTTTTTGTTTCTAAATTTTATTCATTTAAATTCATTTAATAATAATAATTTCATTCGTTTCAGTTCACAAAAGATAACGATTGATGATAATTTTGTTAATGATGATATTATCCATCATATTGTTGCTATTGATGATGATGCAGGCGGTAATGGCAAAGTCACATATGCGCTTATCGATGGAAATACTGATAATGCATTCAGTATTGATTCCAATACTGGTATTTCTTATTTATTTTTTTATATCATTTAAATTGTTTTTACATTAAAAGAAGCTTTATGAAATAACATTTTAAAAAAAAAAAATTAAAAAAGAAGAAATGAAATTAATTATTAATTTAATTATATTTAAATATTATGTATAGATGTCACCAGTTATTTCCTAAATAAATTTAATAATTTAATTAAGTTTATTCAATTTCGAAATAATATTTTAATTGAAAAATTATAAAATTTTAATTGAAAAATGATAATTAAATTTTATAACATTTATAATTAGTAATTAATTTAAATATACTATTACAGGTGCTTTAATTCTTAAACATCGTTTCAACAATGAACGACGCATACGCATACGCGCAAGCGATAATGGCGTTCCGTCGAGATATGCGGAAAAGGATATTACTGTTAAATTTGATTCAGGACATCAACAATGGAAATTTTTTCCGCAACGGAAATATTTCATTAATATGAATGGTAGCGCAACACCCGGAACTGTTCTACATGATTTTTTTGCAAATAGTATGTATTATTGCTATAAAAAAAAAAAAAAATTAGAAATTAATTTTAGGTGGAAGAAAATTAAACAAATAATTTGCAATATTTATGCGTAATCATACGATAATTTATTTGATAATAATATAAATTAAATAATTAAATTGTCATTTAATAATTATTTTTTAATTATTTAATAATTCAAAGAGATGACATATTTTTATTATTTAAATTTATTATTTATTAATATAATATAAATAAATATTAGGAAATGGATGGCCACAGATGAAATTGTTTCCATATTTTGTTTCGGAAAATGATATTTTACAATTATCAGATGATGGAAAATTGATAATATTAAAGGCAGTTACACCTGGAATCTATGATTGGCTTGGTATAAGTTTAAAATTTTTTTAAAAATTTTTTCTTTTTTCCTTTTTGTTTTTAAATTTTAGAAAGATTAAATTACTTTTTGAACAAATTAGAAGGAAAATTTTTAATAAAATAAAAATTTTAGTTTGAATTATTCACACGTAGAAGTGAAACGACTAAAATGATAACACATCTTTTAAGATGATTAAATTATTTTTAGAATAAAAATTTCAAAAAAAAAAATGAATAAATAAATAAAAAATGATTTCTTTTTTCACTTCAAAAAATTAAATATATTTTTTTTTAACTTTTTCAAAAATAAAAATTTTTTTTTTTTTTTTTTTAGTAATAGCATTAGGAGAAGAAAAATTGATTGATTGGACATTTGTTCATCTAAGCGTAATTGGCACTAATCAATATCCGCCACGAATCACGTCATCAAATTGTGGTAATTTAACAATACGTGAAAACGTTGCTGCAAAACATCTCACACGTATTTATGCATGGGATGAAGATGCTAGCAGTGATAATAAAATTTTTTACAAAATAGTCGGTGAGTATCTGATTAATTTAATTATTTATTTATTAATTATAAAATATACTTTAAAAAAAAAAAAGTCCATAATTCATTTCTTGAAATTTACAAAAGATATTAGCAAATATTTTTTAACATCAATTCTAAATATGTTTTCCTGAACATATTTTAAATTATTCGAATTTAATAAATCACAGATATACTTTAAATTATTCGAATTTAATAATTCACAGGTATTTTTTAAATTAATGGAATTTAAAAAAATCACAGGTGTGTATTTTAAATTATTAAAAAAATCACAGATATATTTTAAATTATTCGAATTTAATAATTCACAGATATATTTTAAATTATCCAAATGAAAAGAATTAAAAAAAAGAACAAAATTTTTCAATATTAAATAATACATTTTTTATTGTCTTAATTATCATTTTCTTGATTAATTAGCTGGAAATGAAAATTCGGCTTTTTTCCTCAACTCTACCACCGGATTACTATCATGTCGTGAATTGGATCGTGAACAACAATCACAATATTTTCTCGTGATCACTGTTGAAGATCAAGGCATTCCAAATCGTGCTGTAAGTTATATAATGTAAAAAAAAAAAAAATAATTAAAATAAATTTCAAAAAATTTAAATTATTCTCTAAGTTTATTATTGTTTTTCGTTTTTTCAGGATACTTGTGCATTACGGATTACAGTAACGGATGAAAACGATAATGTACCTGTTTTTAATGATAATAATCCGACATTGATAGAAATTGATGATAATAAACGAGTTGGTGATATATTAGGAAGGTAAATGACAGTGACAGAGAGAGAGAGAGAGAGAGAGTTATTCTATTTGCTAAAAAATTTTAAAACGAAATAATTTTTAAATGTGAATAATTCCTAATTTAATAACTTTGCTTTTTTTTTTTTTTTTTTTTTTTTAATCAAATAAATCAAAAAAAAAAAAATAATTCAAAAAAAAAACGAATAAATTTTTTGCTTTTTTTTTTTTTTTTTTTTTGAAAATTTTTTTTATATTTAAATATTTTGTTCAAAAGAAGCAAATTTTTTCTTTTTTTTTTCATTTAAGACTATCAGCAACAGATGATGATGAAGGTTCAAGTGGTAAAATATTATTTAGCATTATTGAAGATGCTAGTGGTTTGTTGGATATTCGTGCTAATACCGGCGAAATTATTTTTGCTAGGTTTTTCTTTTTTTTTTAAAAAAAAAAAAAAAAAAAATATTTCAATTTATTAAATTTTCATGATAAGAGAAGATAAATTGATAATATGAGAATTAACAAAGAGAATGAATGTAAGAATGAAATAATTTATTATTTGCTTTATTTTAGAGATTATCCAACTTCACAGAATGAATATACAATTAAAGTTAAAGCAGAAGATCAAGGTATTTCACGAGTATTATCATCAGAATTAAACATTAAACTTCATTTAATTCGATCTAAATCGGTGATCAAATTAGACGAACCACAATTTTTAAGTGAACATTATTTTGGTTTTATTAATGAAGGTGAACAACGTGGACAATTTGTGCTTCAGGTATTTGCTATAAATCAAATTATCACTTTATCACAAAAAAAAAAAATATTAGAATTTAAAAAAGAAAAAAATGTAGTTTATATGAAAAAAAAAAATCAGATTAACAATATCATTTCAATCAATTTTTGAAAAAAAAAAATGTAAGTTTGATACATTGAAAAAATAAGCAATTTAGATTAATCAAAATTTTATTTCTTTTTTTTTTTTTTATCTTTCTTTTATTTTTTTCTTTTTGAAATAAAACTTTAAAAATTTCCTTTCTTTTCCCATTTTGTATCTAAATAAATTGTTGATAAAATATGCTTATGATAATATATAATAATAACATATCATATGTATACATGCATAAATTTTCAATAATTTATTTTTAAAATTTTATAATAATCATAAATAATAATTACAAAAATTAATTTGCATAAATATAATTACAAATAAATAATTTACAAGAAGAAAAAAAAAAATTTTTTTTTGTTGAAAATTATTTTAGATTCGTAGCTCAGATCGTTTAACAGAAGATGCACCATTATCATATAGCATTATCAGTGGTAATATGGATAGAGCATTTGATATCGATGATAACGGACGTATAATAACCACTCAACAATTAGACTATGAAATTCAAAATATTTATGCGTTGAAAGTGATCGGAACGAGTAATGTAATGAAAATATCTGAAACAAACATACATATAAGAGGTTTCTTCCTTCTTTTTTCTTTAAATTTTATTTTAAATTAAAAATTATTGCTGTTAAATTAATTCTTTCCTATTTAAATAAATATATTAGAAAATTTATGTTAGATTATTTTAGTTTATGTATTATTATTATTGATTTTTATATTTTAATTATTATTTTATATGCATTATTAGCATAAAATAATTTTAAAATTTTGATAATAATAAATGTTAGTCAAACATATAATAATAGTGAATGAGTTGAAAAGAATAAATGAAAAATTGAAATTAGCCAATATAATAATATTTTTATTCATTCGTAAAAAATTCAAATTATCATTTCAAATTAAAAATTTTTTCAAAGTATTTTCAAATATTTCTATGAATTATTCAAAAAAAATTTTTTTTTTGAATTCATTAATTAATTTTAAAAATTGATTGTATTTAGTAATCAATACAAACGATAATGTTCCATCATTTCCAATACTAAAAGATGTGAAAGTACTTGAATGTTAGTCATTGTTTTAACTTTTTTTTTTCTATAAAATTTTGCATTTCCTTTTTTTTCTTTTATTTATTTTTTATTTAATTAATAGTTAGAATGAAATGGAAATTTTCAGAAATTTAAAAAGTAAGTTTTTATTTACTAATTTTTTATGCTACAAAAATAAAAAGTATGTTAAAGTATTATACTTTAAATAGTTAAAATTAGCCACGATAATATTTTTGTTCATTTGTAAAAAAATTCAAATTATCATTTCAAATTAAAAGTTTTTTTTTTCAAAAGAATTTGAATTTCTAGCAGCAACGTATGGTACCTTGATAGGAACAGTAGTAGCGACAGATGTTGACATTGATACACAATTGGAATATAGTTTATTATCATCCAATGATCTATTCGAGATTGATCCATTTACTGGAAAAATATTTCTAATTCAAAATTTGGATTATGAAAGTGATAAGGAGCATATAGTTCATATTCAGGTATCACTTATTATAATTAAAAATAATTGTTAATTATTAATTTAAGATAGATGTATCATCAAATTAAATGTTTATTGCACTAAAATAATAACATTCAATGTGATATAGTTATGAAAATTTAATTTTACATTATTCAATTTAATTTGAAGTCTTTTTTACAGGTAACAGACGGTGATAATACTTCAAGTGCTACGTTACGAATAATTGTGGTGGATGTTAATGATAATGCACCACAATTTGAACAACAATTTTATCTAATTAATATTGTAAAAAATATTGAATTAGATTCGGTAATTGCTAAAATACATGCAAGTGATCCGGATACAGGACTTGCTGGAACAATTCGCTATGAATTAGTTCTAGATAACCAGAAATATTTCAGGATTAATCCTGAATCAGGTACAATTATTGTTATATAGGAAATAATTTTTACATATTCGAAATGAAATTTCAAATGGTTTATCTAGCTAATTCATCTTTAGCATCTGATGGTTTAACATTGATTTATTGCTCAGATCAAATAAAATTTCAGGTGATCTATTGATAAATGGTAAATTAGAAGATCAATCAACATACTATCTAATGATTCATGCATTTGATCAAGGTAAACCAGTGCAAAGTTCTGCTGTTGCTGTTCAAATTAATGTTGGAATTGACGATTACAATCGAAAACCCATACAATTCACTAATGAATCATTCAAGTTTGACTTTTGAATAATTTTATGCTAATTCTAGCCAGAAATTATTAAGCACTGAACTTAATGAAATATTTCAAGAAAAGCTTTCCGATTTCAAATTCCTTTCATCATTTATGTAAAAATAACAATTTAACATTTGAAAATGCAGCAAAGATCATATTTCAATCTGTTTTCAATCATGGAATAATTTAAATTAACTTAACTTCCAGTTTTACGATACCAGAAAACATACATCCATATATTGAATTTGGTAAAGTAACTTTAATAGACGAATTACCAGTATGCACATCACTGCGAATTCAAAATTTTGAATTTTCCAATATTTTTGGTATCTCCCGTGATGGTTCAATTTTTCTGAAATATCCAGTTGATGCTGAATTTAAGAGTGACTATGAATTCTTGGTTAGTGCTATTTGTTAGATGTTTGATTATTAAAAACTGATGAAGTGAAAAGTTTACGTGTAAAACTTACATCATGAAAAGCGTCCAGAAATATCACGTGAAGTAATTTTTAGGTTGAAGCATCGTCGCCATATGCAACGTACAATTCATCCGTTAAAGTATACGTGAAAGTGATGGACTTAAATGATAATGCGCCATATTTTATTGAAAAAATGGATGAAATAACAATCAGTGAAGGAATGATAATAAATGAAGTTTTGGGAAGGTATGTCATACGTAACTTTTACTTTTATTTAGATATCAGAGAGTTTGGTGATAAATTTGTTCGATTAATGCTTTTACAGAAATCTAAGCATAGTTCACGCATCACTGTAATACCATAACATTAACAGTACGTATTACAGTAACAGCAGTATGGTAATACCACGTATATGGTTGAATCATAATGTCAGATATTACCATAATACCATAATATCATGTATTATGACAACGTGATAATACCACGTATACGGTTAAATCGTAATATCAAATAATACCATAATATCGTATGATACGATTATACTACTATAACATTATTTATTCTGACAACGTGTTAATGCCACGTAGACGGTTAAATCATAATGTCAAATATTACCGTAATCCCATAATATCATGTATTATAACAACGTGATAATACTACGTATACGGTTAAATCGTAATGTCAGATATCACCGTTATATCATAATATGTATCATGGCAGTGTGATAATAGCAACATGATAATACTACGTATACGTATCACGGTTAAATGACAATGTCAGATATTACCGTAATTACCGTACTGATAAAACCGTAATACCATAATATCATTTATCATGACAATATGATAATATTAAGCATACGGTTAAGTCAAAATACCATACATTACCGTAATATCACAAATCATAATATGTATTAAGTAATGTATGTTATTACTTTGTAAAAGAAAAAAAAGATAAAAGATAAAAACTTTGCGAAATATATATTTTATGAATAGTAAAAACTAATCAATTTGATTCATTGATAATGTTTCACCCATTTACATTTAATTGAAATTTTTTATAATCATAAACAAATGTTATATTTACAAACATCACAAATAGTTTGTCATTAGGAAGTTCAATTTTAATTTTATTGTTTCAATTTTTCATAAAAAATGATGTGGAGTAATTTTGATATAAAATGTTAGCAATGATAAGATATAAATTTTAGTTATTTTAAGTACAATTATATAACAAATTGAACAAATGAAATTATTATATCATATTGTCAGATTTGTGGCTGTTGATAATGATAGCGATGATAATGGACGTATTTCTTATCAAGTGTTATCTGGAAATAATTATGGAATATTCAATTTGAATAGCTCTTCGGGAGTGTTATATCTCGAGAAAAATATTGACATTGAAGAAATGAATTTCAATGATGCTTTAGATAATTTATTAATTGCTGCTATTGATAATGGCATACCAAGTCGATTAAATTGGACTTCAGTTCGAATTAATTTTAATTCTAATTTTTCATCAGCTACTGCTCCATTTTTTATCGTTTCACAATACGAAAGAAGTATATTTGAAAATTTACCAAAAGGAAGTATTGTATTACATTCAAAAGCTGTCAATAAATTAGGCCTACCTGGTGATAATTGGATTTATACAATAACAGATACCAATGAGGTAACTACTTTTGTACTTAAATTACTAAAAAAAAAATTTTTTTTTTCACTTTCCAAATTTATTTTATCTCTGAACAAAATTATTTTCAGTAAATTCATAAATCAAAAAATTACGATTTTTATTTATTTATTATTTTTTTTTTTTTTGAAACAATCATTTTTTTTTTCATTATTTATCTGAAATTTTACTTCGTTTTTTTTATAATTACTTAATTATATGTTATTACTTTAGTCATTTGTATGCAACAAAAGTACTGGCCATATAATACTTAGCAAAAAATTGGATTTTGAAATGCAAACAAAGTATGAATTCATCCTGAAAGTTCATGATAATCAAAATCGATCAGCGATGGTATCAGTTCGGATCCGAGTTCTTGGCATTGATGAATATCCACCACTTTTCACAAAAACTAATTATATCTTTCAGGTTAACCATTATTTATAATCTATTAATTAAATATTGCATTTAAAATTTAATTTTATCTGCCTAATTTTAAATTTAACTTTATCATTTATCAATTCCAAAGATAATTTACAATAATTAATTCTCCTCGTATTCATTTCCAACTGATGTTGTTAAATTATAGTAGTATATATTTCCTTCCAAAAAATAAAAATGAAAAACAAAAACAAAAATGAAATCATTGATTTAGAAATAGCAAAGAAAAAAAAAAAAAACTTAAAATGAAGCTTAAAATATATACACTGAATAGAGAGTAAATTTTGAAAAAAAAAAAAAAACACCTGAAACGAGTAAATATTTAAAAAATTTGCATTTTTAATAAAATGTCGGCAACTTCAAAGCTATATTAGATTTCGAGAAATTTACAAATTGGCGAATATATTGGTGTTGTATCAGCAATAGATCATGATTCGGGTATAGATGGTATTATCAGATATGAAATACAGGGAAGTGCATCGCAATATTTAAGTATCGATTCAAATACAGGACAAATTATATTGTCACATCAATTTCCACACAGGTACTGATGACAAAAGATAATTAGAACTTTTCAATATATTCTTTATCAATTTTTAAAATTTATAATTTTCATAAATTTTTTGATTCATAAAATTTTCTAAATTACTAATTTTGCTTATGTATTAGCATATGAAACATTTGATAATATGAGTTAAAAATTTTTGATGATTGAAATAATTGAATAAATTTTAGAGCAAATACTAATATTACAAATGATGAATTCATCGTAACTGCTAGTTCTAGTGCAAAACAAACTTCTCGTACTAAAGTAATTCTTCAGGTGGACTTTTTAAATTTTTATTACTTAAAAAAAATTAAAAAAAAAAAATTTTTTTTTTTTCAATACTAAATTTTTTTCTTGTTGAAATTTATAAAAATTTACATTATGGCAATTTTTTTTTTTTACTCTTTTACTTTAAATTAAGTAAATTTGAAAGTAATAAAAAATGCAATCAAATATGAAATAAATTACTTTTCAGATTGGTGAATTTTTACCGCGTGATGTATTTTCAACGAGAAAAACTTTAACAATGACCCAAAGTTTGACCATTGGCTCATTATTATTACTTTTTGTCCTACTAATTACTCTTATTGCATTGGTCATCAATATGAGAATAAAAAATCGTACAAAGTCAAAAAAAATGGTAAATAAATTTTCACTTTTTTTAAAGAAAAAAAAAGAAGGAAAACTTTTTTTAATTCTATTATAATTGAACGAATAATTTTGTATGAAAACAAATTAAATGAAATTTTTTGATAAAAAATTTTTGATTCTTACTTTTTGTTTAGTTTTTTAGAATTTTTGTAGGTAAAATATGCTATGAAACTTGTGTAAAATTCTTATTTTATTATTTTACAAATGATTAAGAAGAATAAACTGAATAAATTTAATTAAAATTTGTCGAATTAATAATTAGACAAAATGATAAAATGAAATGAGAAAGTCTTATGAGAGTGTAGTAGTAGTAAAATTCATTAATAAACAATGCTTAATTAATTCTAATTCTTAATTAATTCTAATTAAATTCACAAAGAAGTATTTGCTTAAAAGATTTTTTGTTTTTTTTTTTTTAAATACTTAAATTTTTTCCAATTTTTAAACATTTTACAGGTACATAATAACAAAGGTAATTTTACGGTGATAAGAAATACGAATGAGTCATCGCCACGTTTTCAAAATGAAACACAAATTGCTCCACTTCCATCTTCATCATATACCAAATTTAAGGTATTACTTTTTACACCAATATTTTCAATTTTTCACTTTACTTACTACTATTTATCATTTACTCTAAAGTAAACGTTTATTCACGTTTTTACGTTTACAGAATTCTTCCATAACTTCCACGCATCTCAACAATAATACTACAAAAATTCTATATAAACCGTAAGTTTTACTTTTGATGAAAAAAATTTTGAAATACAAAAAAAAAAAAAAAATTTACATTTTACAATGTTTAAAATTTAAAATTGTTATGAGTAAATATTTTTTAAGAATTAATTTCAATTTAAATATATTTTCTTCAGACCAATAGAAACACAAATGGGAAATTATTCCATCACATATTCAATGCCTGATTCCGGTATTGATCCGGATGAGATATCAGTGACAAGTTCAGTTACTGATTATCTTAATCAAGTTGGTGTAACACCAAATAAGGTAAATTATTCATTGCTATCGGTTAAAGATTATATGTTTACAGCTAATTGATATTCTTATCAGAATTATAATTCAAATTAATAAGCAAAAATGATAAAAACTAGTTCATTTGTTTAAATCAAATTTAAATATTCCAATTTTTCATTTTCCACCGTTTTGCAGTATTTTGAATCAAATCAAGGCACATCCAGAGAGTTTTTTATGGATTACAAAAATGATGCAAACAACGATCCGGAAATTAGTGAATTAATTTATGCTAAAGTTGATGAAATTTTAAGTCCGGCAAACCGGATGAATGCATATTTCACATCAAATAATTCAATTAATATTTCATCATTTAATGTTAGCTTTTTAAATTTCTTTGATAAATATATATTAGGATAATAATGAATTAAAATTAAAAAAGTATTTCTAGACTAATCCAATATTTAATTCCAGGCTAATCTAATACTTAATTCTAGGCTAATTTGATTAGCACTGATTCAGTACCTTCATTTCGACCGCTCAGTGAACTTTTATTGGATATGAAGAAGCAACAACGTTGATAGATTATTGATATATCATTTTGTTTTAATTTTAATTTAATAAAATTTTACTTTTGTACAAATAATAAATTGACAATTTCAAGTGTAATTTAAAAATTAAAAGTAAATTATAGGTAAATTTGAAAAAAAAAAAATTTATGTAATTATAATTTTCAAAATTTTATTATCAATAATGAAAAAAAGAAAACAATTTTTTGCACTTAAATCAAAAAAAAAAATCACAATAAATTGCTTCTGTTTCCCAAAATTTATAAAAATTTATGTTAATTTAAAAAATTTCAAATTTGTTTTGTTTTGTTTATTTGTTTGTTTTTCTTTTTCTCTCATATTTTTATACGGGCAATACTGTATTAATCTTACATATATATATTTTTTTTCGAAGAAAAAAGAATGTATTAAACAAAAAAGCATAAAATTGTTGTAAAAATTAATTAATGAATAAACTTTTTTCACATTACTATTGAATTTCGTTTTTTTTTTTTTAAATTATTAAATTAAATTCTAATTCAATTGAATATTATTTTAGTGGTTGATTAAAACTAAAAAGAAAATATATTATTAATAAAACTTTTTTCATATTACTATTGAATTTCGTTTTTTTTTTTTAAATTATTAAATTAAATTCTAATTCAATTGAATATTATTTTAGTGGTTGATTAAAACTAAAAAGAAAATATATTATTAATAAAACTTTTTTCATATTACTATTGAATTTCGTTTTTTTTTTTAAATTATTAAATTAAATTCTAATTCAATTGAATATTATTTTAGTGGTTGATTAAAACTAAAAGAAAATATATTATTAATAAAACTTTTTTCATATTACTATTGAATTTCGTTTTTTTTTTTAAATTATTAAATTAAATTCTAATTCAATTGAATATTATTTTAGTGGTTGATTAAAACTAAAAAGAAAATATATTATTAATAAAACTTTTTCATATTACTATTGAATTTCGTTTTTTTTTTTAAATTATTAAATTAAATTCTAATTGAATTGAATATTATTTTAGTGGTTGATTAAAACTAAAAAGAAAATATTTTATTAATAAAACTTTTTTCATATTACTATTGAATTTCGTTTTATTTATTTATATATTAAATTAAATTCTAATTCAATTAAATATTAATAAAACCTTTTTCATATTACTATTGAATTTCGTTTTTTTTTTATTTATTTATTAAATTAAATTCTAATTCAATTAAATATTATACAGAATTAAAAAAAAAAAAAAAAAAAAAGGAAAATGAAAATATTTTTTGTTAATATTAATTAATATTTTGTTTATTTTTGTTATCATAGATGAATGAATTAATATCATTTTGCCTTATCACAAATATTACTACTAATCAACCACTAAGATTACCCGCAATTTCAAATTTATTTTATTTTAACAAATTTGTCAAACAATTCATTCCAACAATTTACATTTTTTTTTTCCTTTCAATTTCATCAATCATTAATTTCATTTACATTTACTCTAAATAATTGTATTATTACAATTATTTACTCTCAAATTGCGGTACTATTCCTTTGATGCTTTTTAGTAATTCTTTTTTTTTTTTTTTTTTTTAAAAAAAAAGAAAAGAAAAGAAAATTTAAAAAAAGAAATACATTTAAGCAACTGTCCTATTTGATTGTCATCTTCATCCTATTTCATCTTAAAATTATTTCCCTTTTTCCCTTTTTCCTTTTTTTTTTTTTCTTCTTTCGGAAAAAGATAAAATGAACAGCCGTTTAAAATTGAAATGAAATCATTTTTAGCTTCATACTAAAATCGTATTTTCAATATTTTTTATTATTGTAAAAATTTAAAAAAAAAAAAAAAAAGTTTTAAATTTTTAACAAATTGTTTAATTTTTTATTCAAATGAAAAAGAAAAATTCATTTAAAAAAAAAATTTACTTATTTTCAATGATTAAAATAATTTTTTATTGTAGTCTTTTTTTTTTTAAAAAAAAAAGAAAAGCAGAAAAAAATGTTTTTTAATTTGAGAAATAAGTTAATTTTTAGAAATGATTACATCTGATGCATTTCATTTTTATTTTTTAAAATTATTTAATTAAATTTATAGTATGAATTAAAATAAAACAAAAAAAAAAATATTTTAAAGATGAAAAACGAATAAAATGTGAAAAAAAAAATGATATTCCTATATTTTAGTTTAATTTTTTCCTTTTTTTTTTAAAAAAAAATTTATGTTTTACTAACATTAATAAGCATACATTGTTGATTCATCAAATTTTGATTAATTTAATTTCATTAATTTTCTTACTTTTAACAATTTAAAATAATTCATTCTTTAGTGCTTTATAAAAAAAAAAAAAAAAAAAAGGAAAAAGAAAAATTATTTCAAACAAAAAAAAAATTTACACAATTTATGAATGAATTTCATTTATTATTTACTCATTTTTAGATAAATCAAATTTTGTTTATTTTTTTATTTTATTTCAATTTTTTTTTTTAGTTTTAATTTTTTCTTTTTTAAAATTTATTTTAATAAGCAAAATAGTATGAAATGAAAGATTGAACTATACAAATGGAAATTTGTTAACAATGAAATTATATGAAATGACAGAAATCATATAATTAATCATTTTTTTTTTCAAAATTTGATAATTTCATTCGAGCAAATTTATTATCATTGAAAATTTACATTTATTTATCTTTAAGAATTATTTATTAATTTATCAATTTTCAATTTTTAAAAATTTCAATTCATCGTTACAATATTCAATTATATAATTAAATTAAATTTCTATATGATTTACTTAATAAGAAATAGTTATAAAAATTAATTTATAATTTAATTACTTCATTATTCGATTCCTTTGCTTTTTTATTTTTTCATTTTTTATTTAAAAAAAAAAAAATTGATAAAATTGGCTTATCAAATTATTTGTTTATTTTTCAGAATTCATCAAAACTTTTTTTTATTTATTTTTTTTTTTGATTAGTTTTTAGGTCAATTATTCATCATCTTTAAACTATTTTCAATTGCTTTGTCATTTTATTGATCAAAAAATTTATCGATTTGTTGTTGATCAGTTATTGATTAGTTGAATTCATAGAAAATAATTTCTTCTTTCGAATTCGTAAATTTTTAGGTGTTTTCAGCTTATTTTAAAACTTTCAAACATTTGAACAATCAACGAGAAAAAGAAATGAAAGAGAATAGATAAGTGCAAATTGATACTGCCACCTGTTATTTGCTTCTCAATTATCTTAGCTTCATTAACCTTTGACCTTTCAAGTAGTTATGAAATAAATTTAACAAATTTTGCAAAAGAATTGTCGGTGAATAAATTGAAATATATTTCGAAATTTAAAATTGATTGTGCTTTTTTTTTTTATTAAAATTATGTAATTTAGGTGACAAATTTCATTTTTAAAATCGCGAACTATTAGAAATTACTTTGAGTTACTTTAAATTAAAACAAGAGTATAACAAATTTAATTGGAACAATGAATTAAGAAAAAGTGTTACTTAAATTTTCCAAATTTTTTTTTCTTTGAAATTTTGGAAAACAAAGTTTTTTGTTTTTTTTAGAGCAATTAAACTTTATTAAATTTTTTCTAATACCTATATTCTTTCTATTCTTCTTTTTTTTTTTTTTTGATGCAATCTTTAATAGCAATTTTATTTTTAAATTTAAATGAAATTCAAATAAAACTTTTTTCTTGTGAATCGATGATTTATTTGATTAGTTTTGTTTTCTTAATCAAATTTTATTAACACTTAATGATAAAAAATATATTTTCATTAAACTTCAAAAAAAAAAAAAAAAAAAAGGAAAAAAGAATTTAATTTAACTTAAATTTGATAAATCACAGTTAATTTACTACATTTAACTTCCACACATTGTCCACTCTCATTGTCATTTACTTTTGTTCACTGCCATTTTTGATCATTTTTTTTTTTTTGAAATTTAAATGAATTTTGAAAAAAGATTCATCCATTTATCATTTTTTGAATTTTTAGTTTTTGTTTTTTTCCTACTAAAATTTACTCAATTTAATCTTTTATTTAAATTAACATTCTTTTCAGTTTAATTTTTGAAAATTTGTTTAAAAAAAAAAGAAAAACATTTATTCATTTCATTGTTTCATCAATTTGTTCAAATAGTTAACATTAATCTCATATAATTTTACTTAACTATTATTAATTAATTAATTAAATTTATTAATTAAAAAAAAAAAAAATTTGCATTACACTAATATTATCACTGTGATCATTCATTGACAACAATTTATTTAAAATTTTATTAAAATTAAACAAAATTTTGTTCGATTGTTTCTTTTCTTTTTTTTTTTCTTACTTTTATTTAAATAATAAGTATCAGAAATCAAAATTTTTATAATAAAATTAAATTTTGTATAATTTTTGTAATAAAATTAAATTTTTATATAATTTTTAAATATTAAATTCGTATAATTTAAATATATGAATAAATAAAAATAAATTTGTATAACTTTTATTATAATAATTTTTTTTATAATAAAATTAAAATTATAATTTAATTTTGATTTGCCTGAACAAAACATTAAAAAGGAGATATTTTTGAGAGAGAGAGAGAAAAAAAATTGAAATGAAATTATGATTACTAAAATGATTGATGATGATAATATAAGATAAATAAACAAAATTAAATATATACAAACACAAATTGCTCTATGCTTTGCATTCCTTTTTTTTTTTTTTTTTTTTTTTTTTTTAAATTAAATTATCAAATTAAACAATGCAAATATTTGTAATTGATTTCATTTTTCAATAAATAATATTAAATTAACATTTGTTAAATTTTATTTTCATTTTTTGATTAAATAATTAAAAAAGATAGAAATTGAAAAAAATTTTTATAAAAATGAATGTTTTGTTTTGTTTTTGTTTTTTTATTGCTTAATTAATTAATTTCTAAAATCAAACAAAAAAAGTAAACAAAAAAATAAGAGTAAAAAAAAAAAGAAAAAATTTGTTTAATAAAATAGAAATGACCAA